TCTGGTGTTTAGGTATGTGTGTGGGTCTGGTGTGTAGGTCTGGTTCTGTAGGTCTGGTGTGTTGGTCTGGTGTTTAGCTCTGTGTGTGGGTCTGGTGTGTGGGTCTGGTGTGTTGGTCTGGTAAGTAGGTCTGGTGTGTTGGTCTGGTGTTTAGGTCTGGTTCTGTAGGTCTGGAGTGTTGGTCTTGTGTTGGTCTGGTGTGTGGGTCTGGTTCTGTAGGTCTGGTGTGTTGGTCTGGTAAGTAGGTCTGGTGTGTTGGTCTGGTGTTTAGGTCTGTGTGTGGGTCTGGTGTGTAGGTCTGCTTCTGTAGGTCTAGTGTGTTGGTCTGGTGTTTAGCTCTGTGTGTGGGTCTGGTGTGTTGGTCTGGTGTGTTGGTCTAGTGTTCAGGTCTGGTGTGTAGGTCTGGTTCTGTAGGTCTGGTGTGTTGGTCTTGTGTAGGTCTGGTTCTGTAGGTCTGGTGTGTTGGTCTGGTGTGTAAGTCTGATGTGATGGTCTGGTTAACATGTGCTGGCCTGGGGTGTTGGTCTAGTGTGTTAGTCTGGTGTGTAGGTCTGGTGTGTAGGCCAGGTGTGTAGGTCTGTTGTGTCAGTCTGTTGTGTATGTCTCTTGTGATGGTCCTGTGTGTTGGTTTTGATTGTTGGTCATGTGTGTAGGTATGGTATGTTCATCTGGTGTGTTGGTCTGGTGTGTAGACCAGGGGTGTAGGTATGTTGTGTCAGTCTGGTGTGTATGTATCTTGTGATGGTCGTGTGTGTTGGACTGGATTTTTGGTCTTGTGTGTAGGCCTGGAACGTTCATCTGGTGTGTTGGTCTGGGGTGTTAATGTGGTGTGTAAGTCAGGAGTGTAGGTATAGTGTGTTGGTCTTGTGTGTTTGCCTGGTATGATGATCTGGTGTGTTGGTCTGGTAAGTAGGTCTGGTGTGTTGGTCTGGTGTTTAGGTCTGTGTGTGGGTCCGGTGCGTTGGTCTGGTGTGTTGGTCTGGTGTTTAGGTCTGGTGTGTAGGTCTGGTTCTGTAGGTCTCGTTCTGTAGGTCTGGTGTGTTGGTCTAGTTTGTGAGTCTTAAGTGTAGGTCGGGAATGTAGGTCAGATGAGTAGGCCTTTTGCTTAGGTCTGATGTGTTGATCTTGTTTGTTGCTCCGGTGAGTAGGTCTTGTGTGTTGCTCCGGTGAGTAGGCCTTGTGTGTTGCCCCGGTGAGTAGGTCTGGTATGTAGGTCTGATGTGATGGTCTGGTAAACATGTGCTGGCCTGGGGTGTTGGTCTAGTGTGTTAGTCTGGTGTGTAGGTCTGGTGTGTAGGCCAGGTGTGTAGGTAGGTCTGTTGTGTCAGTCTGTTGTGTATGTCTCTTGTGATGGTCCTGTGTGTTGGTTTTGATTGTTGGTCATGTGTGTAGGTATGGTATGTTCATCTGGTGTGTTGGTCTGGTGTGTGGACCAGGTGTGTTAGTCTGGTGTGTAGGTCTGGTGTGTAGGCCAGGTGTGTAGGTCTGTTGTGTCAGTCTGTTGTGTATGTCTCTTGTGATGGTCCTGTGTGTTGGTTTTGATTGTTGGTCATGTGTGTAGGTATGGTATGTTCATCTGGTGTGTTGGTCTGGTGTGTCAGTCTGTTGTGTATGTCTCTTGTGATGGTCTTGTGTGTTGGTTTTGATTGTTGGTCATGTGTTTAGGTATGGTATGTTCATCTGGTGTGTTGGTCTGGTGTGTCAGTCTGTTGTGTATGTCTCTTGTGATGGTCCTGTGTGTTGGTTTTGATTGTTGGTCATGTGTGTAGGTATGGTATGTTCATCTGTTGTGTCAGTCTGGTGTGTATGTATCTTGTGAAAGTCCTGTGTGTTGGACTGGATTGTTGGTCTTGTGTGTAGGCCTGGCATGTTCATCTGGTGTGTTGGTCTGGAGTGTTAGTGTGGTGTGTAGGTCAGCTGTGTTGGTACAGTGTGTTGGTCTGGAGTGTTAGTGTGGTATGTAAGTCAGCTGTGTTGGTATAGTGTGTTGGTCTTGTGTGTTTGCCTGGTATGTTGATCTGGTGTGTTGGTCTGGTAAGTAGGTCTGGTGTGTTGGTCTGGTGTTTAGGTATGTGTGTGGGTCTGGTGTGTTGGTCTGGTGTTAAGGTCTGGTGTTAAGGTCTGGTTCTGTAGGTCTGGTGTGTTGGTCTAGTGTTTAGCTCTGTGTGTTGACCTGGTGTGTTGGTTTGGTGTGTAGGTCTGGTTCTGTAGGTCCGGTTCTTTAGGTCTGGTGTGTTGGTCTTGTGTGGGTCTGGTATGTAGGTCTGGTGCCTAGGTCTGGTTCTGTAGGTCTGGTGTGTTGGTCTGGTGTTTAGGTATGTGTGTGGGTCTGGTGTGTTGGTCTGGTGTGTTGGTCTGGTGTTAAGGTCTGGTGTGTAGGTCTGGTTCTATAGGTCTGGTGTGTTGGTCTGGTGTTAGCTCTGTGTGTGGGCCTGGTGTGTTGGTCTGGTGTGTAGGTCTGGTTCTGTAGGTCTGGGGTGTTGGTCTGGTGTTTAGGTCTGGTTCTGTAGGTCTGGGGTGTTGGTCTAGTGTGTTAGTCTGGTGTGTAGGTCTGATGTGTAGGCCAGGTGTGTAGGTCTGTTGTTTCAGTCTGGTGTGTATGTCTCTTGTAATGGTCTTGCGTGTTGGTCTGGATTGTTAGTCATGTGTGTAGGTATGGTATGTTCATCTGGTGTGTTGGTCTGGAGTATTATTGTGGTGTGTAAGTCAGGTGTGTTGGTATGGTGTGTTGGCCTTGTGTGTTGGCCTGATATGTTCATCTGGTGTGTTGGTCTGGTAAGTAGGTCTGGTGTGTTGGTCTGGTGTTTAGGTCTGTGTGTGGGTCTGGTGTGTAGGCCTGGTGTGTGGCCTTGTGCGTGTCTGGTGTTTAGGTCTGGTGTGTTGATCTGGTGTGTAGGTCTTGTGTGTTGGTCTGGTGTGTGGGTCTGGTTAGTAGGTCTTGTGTGTTGGTCTGGTTCTGTAGGTCTGGTGAGTTGGTCTGGAGTGTAGGTCAGATTAGTAGGTCTTGTGAGAATGTCTGATGAGTAGGTCTGGTGAGTAGTTCTGGTGAGTAGGTCTGGTGAGTTGGTCTGGAGTGTAGGTCAGATGAGTAGGTCTGGTGAGAATGTCTGGTGTGTTGATCCGGTGTGTTGGTCTGGTGTGTTGGTCTGGTGTGTGGGTCTGGTAAGTAGGTCTGGTGTGTTGATCTGGTGTATTGGTCTAGTGTATTGGACTTGTGTGTTGGTCTGGCGTGTAGGTTAGGTGTGTTAGTCCTTAGTGTAGGTCTGGTGTGTTGTGTCGGTGTGTTGGTCCGGTGTGTGGATCTAGCTTGTGAATCATGTGTGGTAAGGTGCGTATGTCTGGTGCGCGTGTTGGTCTTGTGTGGTTCTGGTTTTTAGGTCTGGTGTGTAGGTCTGGTTCTGTAGGTCTGGTATGTTGGTCTTGTGTGGGTCAGGTATGTAGGTCTGGTACGTAGGTCTGGTTCTGTAGGTCTGGTGTGTTGATCTGGTGCATTGGTCTCGTGTATTTGACTGGTGTGTTAGTCTGGCGTGTAGGTTAGGTGTGTTAGCCCTTAGTGTTGGTCTAGTGTGTTGTGTCGGTGTGTTGGTCCGGTGTGTGGATCTAGCTTGTGAATCAAGTGTGTTAAGGTGCGTATGTCTGGTGCGCGTGTTGGTCTTGTGTGGGTCTGGTATGTAGGTCTGGTAGGTAGTTCTGGTTCTGTAGGTCTGGTGTGTTGGTCTGGTGTGTTGGTCTGGTGTGTTGGTCTTGTGTGTGGGTCTTCAGTGTAGGTCTGGTGTGTAGGGTCGGTGTGTTGGTCCGGTGTGTGGATCTCGCTTGTGAATCTAGTGTGTGGTGAGGTGCGTATGTCTGGTGAGTAGGTCTGGTGTGTTTTGCTGGTGTGTGGGTTTTCAGTGTAGGCCTGGTGTGAAGGGTCGGTGTGTTGGTCCCGTGTGTGCATCCAGCTAGTTAATCTGGTGTGTTGTGAGGTGCGTATGTCTGGTGTGTTTGGCTGGTGTGTGGGTTTTCAGTGTAGGCCTGGTGTGAAGGGTCGGTGTGTTGGTCCCGTGTGTAGGTTTGGAGTTTAGGTCTGATGAATAGGTCCGGAGTGTAGGTCTGTTGAGTAGGTCTTGTGTGTAGGTCTGATGTGTCCCGGGAGTAGGTTTAGTGTGTTGATCCGGTGTATTTGTTTGATGTGTAGATCTGGTATGTTGGTGTGTTGTGTGGGTCTAGCTTGTGAGTCTTGTGTGTAGGTCTGGTGCGTAGGTCAGATGTGTAGATTTAGTTTGTAGTGCTGGTTGGTAGGCCTTGTGTGTGGTTTGTTCATCCGGTGTGTTGCTCTAATGAGTAGATCTGGTGTGTAAGTCTGATGTGTAGGTCTGGAGTGTTGGTCTGGTGTGTTGGTCTGATGAGTATATCTGGTGTGTTGGTCTGTTGAGTAGGTTTTGTGTGTTTGTCTAGAGTGTCGGTCTGATGTGTTGGTCTGATGAATAGGTCTGGTGTGTTGGTCTAATTTGCATGTCTGATGTGTAAGTCTGGAATGTCTTTCGCATGTGTTGTTCTGGTTGATAAGTCTGGTGCTTAGGTCGTTTCCGTATAGGCCCTTGTTAAATTGATGTAGCATTGAGAGAGAACAATACAAACACAAACAATTCATAAGCTATTCATCTGACGAAAGGATACGATACGAATATAATTCACACAGTTCATTACAAGTGAAAGAGTGACTGCATTCAGTATCTCGGCGTATATAACGGCACACCAGCTGAAAGTGAGGGGGATTCCGAAGTGATTCAGGTCTGGGGCGTTTATTACATTTACATTGGTATGGTACTGACTAAATTACGGCTACGTGTTGGTGTTTGTATATAAAGACCTATAATGAAGATAACACTAAAATTACGACCTTCAAGAAACCCCATAGTCCAAAGTTTTAAAATAGTTATTGCCTATAACATGTTTTAAAGTAACACACATATAAGTGCGGAAACATGCAAGACTTATATACAAGGTAATGAACTCACCCTTGATGATCCCAAGCGACCCCATATCAGGCCTGGTCGTGATAAGTTGTGTTGTTGAATGTATGATGTAGATGGGACAGGGGAAGGAAGTAAGTACAAGCTCGACTGATGACACATCGGAACACAGGGGCTTGTGCGGGCAAGTGGAGCCTGACCGTGGAGATGTCAGCACCACCTGCCATCAGCTGTAGGATTCACAACGTCCATTGCCCACTGCATAATTATAATGATACCCATAGCTGTCGGCAGCTTAAGATCCGTATGTGGGTCGGTCACGTATGGATTTTATTAGCTTTACTCATAAAAGTATCGGTTTCGTTGACGAACTTAAACTGCCTTATATTTAACACTTCGCCAATGTTTCCGCGTGTGTATTAATTTTATATTAACTGGTAGTTTGTTAAAGGGAAGGGGTTCGGTACGATATGATCCATCGTTCAGTGCAGTAACACACATGCCCTTCTTAAACCGTGTGGCCCAATTGTTTAAAGCGTCGCAATTAGCCTTGCAGAGTTGCGGCCCTTTGGCGTGACAGAAACATAGGATCCCAGATGCACCCTGAATATGTTTCTAAGTTCCAGCACTATATTCACATACTCGTGGGTTTTTCAAACCTTTAGACCTGCGTCGGCTGACACATCGTGGTACAACTGAAATACAGCTAATTAAATCATACTCACTCACTCATTCAAAATTTAATATTATATTGTATTTAAGTTTGTGCGTCTCTACATTTGTATTTTGCTGAGAATTGCCCCCTCCCTCCCTTAGTAGTGCCAGGATCAGCTAAAACAGGATTCAATACAAAATTAGTCCTAATTATGAACCATGGTTTCCAAGAGCAAAACCCACGGTACATGTTTAAGCGATACGACGTAACTGTTAGCGGCGTTAAACCCAACTCAGTTTATTTGTCACTCTTATTCTAATAAGATTCTTTTTAGCGTCAAATAGTGTTTATCCATGTTAGGTAACAAAAATAATCGGGAATTAATTGTACCCTCCGAACAAACATATTATAATACTTATGTGAGATTTATTTCGGTTACACTCACTAAACAATATAGGATTTGCTTCGAGCTGATTGATTAGTTGACGCCAGTTTGTACTGATTGTGACTTCATGTCTGCGCATTGTCAAAACAAATTGAAGATGACGTCCTCCATCGAAAAAGACTGTGACGTCGTTCCAAACAAAGATTGACTCAGCTGTAACAGAGATGGGGTTCTCATGACCTCTGTTGACATGAACAAAGGTTGCACCCGTCGATACTCAAACCACCCCTTAACTGTTCAGCATGTGTGTCTTGCCCCACAAAGTACCCTTATTAATACGACTACCTTTTCTTTACATAACATTTTGAAACGGAGACTCGTTTAATCTGGAATATATGACACTTGTTTTATTGATAACTTCTTTCATTCTTCGTCACGACGATTCAGAGCTACGTCTTGCTCCTTCGGCAGCGAATTCCTGTGAAGTGTATGACGTGCAGTTCTTCCATCAGGATAAACAGCGTCTGACATCCCTGGCTCTCTCATTGTAACATTTCTGTAGCTGCGATTATCTTCAATATGATGAGACAAGCACCGCGCCTACTTCCTATGAAACTGGTAGAGACATGTCCTCATTACTAGCAATAAATATTTCAAATAACTACATGCCAAAAACTTACATATGTTGATGTTGATGTTGTTATATGAAAATATATATTTGAGGGCGGATTCCATTACATTTCAAATAGATATTTTGAAACCGTATTTGTTTCAGTGAGATAAGCTATGTATTCGTGAAACATATCAAACATAAAAGCCTTTTGCGATAACGAGTATCACAGTTTGTGTGTAAGATGAAAGTTTTACTCTATTATGAAAAAACCCCGCTCACTTGCCCTACATATGCGTCCGGGTGCGAGATAACAAAAGCCATAGATGGTGTATTTCCGGTGTAAGATTTCACGTGTCTGCTTGTACTGATGCTGTCATATCTGGTCTTGGTATTCACACAATGAAGTGGTCCCATATCGTTCTCATCCTCACAGTCTTGGTCGTGGGTAAGTTAATACAGTATGTTCAGATAGACGGACACTTACAAACAGTTACCATGTTCATTAGTTGCGCGTCGACTTGGTTTCATGATTAGTGACGGTTTCAGACATATCTCCTTGACATACTGTTCCGCGTTGCTTATTGCTCATATTGTTTCAGTTTTAATGAACGGCGTACTCACTCACTGGCATACTGGGAAAGGTGGTTTAGCCGAGTGGTTACATCGCCCGTTCTTCACACCAAAGGCTTTGGTTCCATTGTCATATTGGTACAACGCGTCAAGCCCATTTTATGTGTTCTCCGGTCTTGACATTATTTTCTCATTATTCCAGCTTTTTTATTATTCCAGCTTTTTCCATTATTCCAGCTATATTGTAGCTGGAATAATAAAAAAGGGCGTTAAACCATACACATTGACTCAGTGACTGACTCACGAACTCACCAAGCACCAGCAGTGTATTTCTACTCAGTTAATGTACTCGTCTCGTCCTAGATGTTGTTGTTTATAATAATGTTGTAGTTACTTATCATGAGTAGGGGCACGCCGCAATTCGATGTGCAAAGTTGCGTCCCTTGGGCACGCCGAAAACCTATGATTGTTGGTTTGAATCCCGCTCCGCCCCAATTATGTTTCTAGCTTTGTCAGCACCATATCCGTGCTCGTGGGTTTCACCGAAGTGGTAAACGTCTGAGACCTGCATCGCTTCGGGCTTTCCTCCCAGACCAAGCTGAAACGCTGTGATATAACTGGAATACTGACAAAGCTTCGGGTGAATAAAGGGACACGAAGCATCCCCAAAACGTCGTTACAAACAGTAAAGATGATGTTATCCAAGTACACCATGTCTTCATTAACCATTGAATTATTTTCAGATTTTTTATTTCGTTCGCAAATGTAACGTATGCAGTTTGTTCGGAATGCAGAGACATATTGTCATGGATAAGGCAACTGTGCATTCACCAGATGGGTGTTGTTGTAGGGCTGATGAGCAGTTCTTTACCAGCAGACGATGAGGATAGCCCGGATGACCTTCAGGGTTCCGGATCAGGAGAAGGTGAAACTCCAGGTAATACAGGAATTAAAACGCCAAAGCCTTAAGAATATTACTATTCGTATCTCTGTCAAAATAATCGTACTTAAACACCAGGTACCAGTTCCTTGGTGACGATCACTTCGTGCACCTGGGCCAAGTTATACCAAACACGTTATATGGATACAGGGCTCGGACAGTCCAGGCAAAGCTGATTCAAGTTGATCAAAACCCCTGTGTATATTTTAATTGCTGACGTACATCTGGTTTTTTACCTATCTAACCTCCAAATACACAGTCTCAAGGTCACGTATGACAATAATTACGCCTTCTTGATTTCGAGTGGATCCAGGCCGTGGACATTACCCCGTTTCAAAGCCTAGTAGTAAATCCCGATATATCTAAGATGAGAAGGGGAAGGAGTTCAAGTGAATCCAACAAGTCTCACCACGGTCATGTTTAGGTACAGATACTCGGCATCTCTACATATACCATCTTCCCTAGGCCAGAGTGTCCAGTAGCCTATACCAAAGCCTAGTTTTCAAACTTTGGTATAGGCTTGGAGACATTCTTGCCTCGGGAGGATGACATTAAACTATCGTCGTTGATTCCTACCCTGACATGGTTAGTTATACCAGCGGGACTGCTGTACATGCTGCTTTACCGAAGACGAATACCATTTCTTGTTTTCTAAGCGACAGATATAACAATAAATCTTACCAGACCATGCTCTACCTTTGTCTTAGGGGGTGGGGTGGGGTAGGGTCATACCCATGCCAGTCTTTTACAATCGTATCTGATATTGGAAATCCCGTATTACTTACAAATTACGCTGCAAACTACCACGCTCTGGTATCAAGGCGACACCACTTACTCTCACACTACGTCACTCTGTACTATGACCCTCAGGCCTCTCAGAGCACAAACTGACGAATTCGTTTGTTCCTCCGCAAATAACTTTCTACTGTAAGGGTTGCGCAACAATTAACGCGTAATTAACGTAAATGCGCCAAGTTACCCCAGGAGTAATTATGTACACCATGAAAAATTAGTTATGTACACCGTGAGGAGTTCCTTATGTACACCATGAGGAGTCCCTTATGTACACCATGAGGAGTTCCTTATGTACACCGTGAGGAGATCCTTATGTACACCATGAGGAGTTCCTTGTGTACACTATGAGGAGTTCCTTATGCACACCATGAGGAGTCCCTTATGTACAACATGAGGAGTTCCTTATGTACACCATGAGGAGTTCATGGTGTACACTATGAGGAGTTCCTTGTTTACACTATGAGGAGTTCCTTGTTTACACTATGAGGAGTTCCTTATGTACACCATGAGGAGTTCCTTATGTACACCATGAGGAGATCCTTGTGTACACTATGAGGTGTTCCTTATGTACACTATGAGGAGTTAGTTATGTACACTATTAGGAGTTATTTATGTACACTATGAGGAGTTCCTTATGTACACCGTGAGGAGTTCCTTATGTACACTATGAGGAGTTAGTTATGTACACCATGAGGAGTTAGTTATGTACACTATGAGGAGTTCCTTATGTACACTATGGGGAGTTCCTTATGTACACCGTGAGGAGTTCCTTATGTACACTATGAGGAGTTAGTTATGTACACTATGAGGAGTTAGTTATGTACACTATGAGGAGTTAGGTATGTACACTATGAGGAGTTCCTTATGTACACTATGAGGAGTTCCTTATGTACGCCGTGAGGAGTTCCTTATGTACACTATGAGGAGTTAGCTATGTACACTATGAGGAGTTAGTTATGCACACTATGAGGAGTTAGTTATGTACACTACGAGGCGTTAGTTATGTAGACAATGATGAGTTAGTTATGTATACTATGAGCAGTTCGTTATGTACACTATGAGGAGTTAGTTATGTACACTACGAGGAGTTAGTTATGTACACAATGATGAGTTAGTTATGTACGCCATGAAGAGTTAGTTATGTATACTATGAGCAGTTAGTTATGTACACTATGAGGAGTTAATTATATATACTATGATGAGTTACTTATGTACTCTATGAGGAGTTAGTTATGTAAACTATGATGAGTTAGTTATGTACACTATGAACAGTTAGTTATGTACGCCATAAGGAGTTAGTTATGTACACTATGAGGAGTTAATTATTTATACCATGAGGAGTTGTTGGTACCCAGATAAGCCCTGTTTTTAGGTTGTCAGCACCATATCCTCGCACGTGTGTTTCACCTAAGTGGTAAACGGCTGAGGCCTGCATCACTTCGGGCTTTTCTCCCACATCAATCTGACACGCTGTCATATAAATGGAATACTGTTTAAAGCGGGCTTGGGCTGTGAGCTTAAACATTCCTCAATTAAACAATCACAACTCGCCTTGATAACCGAGTTTTGCAACATTCAAATATGAAGTATCCAAGAGTACTTAGCCTGGCCCAGATGTACAAGGCAGGCATGAGAGTTAGGTTTCCGGAGAAACTTGCCCAGACAAGCGGGGACTTTCAGTTGAATAAGAGGTACGGGAACCGTCACCAGTCACCACACTCACTCCATCCATATAACACAGTGCTCACAAGTGGCCGGCTGTCTTGTTCAGATCTGTCTCTCCAGTTTACATCAGTGCACATCGTCAACTAGGGTAATACTAGTATTTAGTCCCAGAAGTAAAGTTGTCTCATCTAAATATATATATTCACAAAATACAAAATAAAATTCAAATGGTGTCCACAACAATGCCTGGAGCCGAGGCAATCTAGACTTGCCAAATCAAACTAAACTTAAAGTTGCATATATTCTGTTGTGTCGAGGAGTCTTATCGTTGTCATAGGGGTTGTGCTAATTATCTTAACTTAGAAAGTGCTGTTAGATTATATATGCTGTTATATATCAATGATTATCAGATTTAGCCCTGCTTAGTTTGTTTATAAGAACAATTATACATTCACAAGTTTAAAACGTACAGGGTTACAGATCTGTAAATGTTTTTGTTTGGGGAAAACCACTTTAATTTGATGACCCTATGTATTTGTTTCAACGTTGTTCACGTAGGTGAAAGTGAAGGTGTTGGTTGGCTGTTCTACTTAATGATAGGCTCTGGGAGTGCAGCCGGTTTCATCATTGTGGTTGCTATTGTTGTCTTCATCCACAGATTAAGAAAACCGTGAGTCTCATTATTTTTACGTGTCTTTATCATCTAAATAACATACAATCCCAGACATAATGTCGAAAAAACAATTTCTTCAAAATGTCAACAAAGTGTAGCGTGAATCAAGTATTCACGACGGTAGAAGTAAATATTAAAGTGGAGAGTTATACATTTTCTAGCGGCTAAACAAGTTACAGTTTACATGTAACGTTTAATTTCAATATACCCCATCCATGTTCAAGTTGCAGTGTAACCTTAATTTTACTCCAGACTTTGCTACTTTCTAGAGTGGCGTTCAGAGTTTAGTCAAATGTGGCGCTATGGTTATATATCGTGGATACAAAGTTTAGTAAAGTATGGCGCTATGGTTATTTATCGTGGATACAAGTTTAGTCAAGTGCGGCGCCATGGTTATATATCGTGGATACAAGTTTAGTCGAGTGTGGCGCTATGGTTATATATCGTGGATACAAGTTTAGTAAAGTATGGCATACTGATAATATATATAATCAAGTTAAATCACGTGTGGTGAACTGATTATATATCGTGGATTTGTTTTCGCTTTTCAGACAGGAAGCACAGCCAGAGAAACCTCTGGTTAAAAGTCAAAAGAGTAACAAAGTGCACGTGTAATTACAAACGGCCAGATTTCATGGGACATGCATCCACGGTACGTGAGTTTCAGTCGACTTCAGCTTTCATTAAATCACATCACATATACGGACACATTATGTATTCTATTGCACAGAGACTGGGATTATCTATTGAACAGGGTAAGTGTTTAGATGAATGGTTATTAACACTGTTCTAAATTGTCAAATATACCCAAAACGAGCGAGGGCTTTGTTGCTATAATGTCTACACGTGTGATGACATGTGTTGAACACTTTCTGTATTTACAATGAAGCAGGACCAACTAATCATAGTTTTGACATTGATTGCTAAGTATATCCGTTAACCCTTCTTGTTAACTATGTATCAATCTTTGAGATAATACTGTATATATGTGTTCGTTGTCAACATCTGTGATAACCCAGAAGTACCCCGAATGCAAACATTTTCCATATCTACAAACGGGACATATGAGTGTGAGGGCTGCCTGTCGTCTACCACATACATACCCTTAAGCACCTCTTCATGAGTGGGTGAGTGAGTTCTGGGTTAACTCAGATTTGAACAGTATTTCAGTTATATCAATGCACAATGTGATTACAGATATAGATTATTATGTAACAGGAAAATATGGCAGTTCCATACGCGTGTATTAATGTCATGTCGTGACGCTGTGATGCTGCGACACCCGTATCATTAGCATAGGTTTTGGAGGTTTCACCAATGCACCCCCAACAAACAGTGTTTCGAGGGCTGGTCACGACTTGCAAAGGCAAGCTCCGACGTTCATACAGTTTGGCCCTCACTCTAGGAAGGTTCATACTCCAATAAACTCACACAAAGTGAAAGTCAATTCTTAAATCGTGGTCGAATCATGCCAGCTAATTGCACTTTTTCCGTGTAACATTTAGGTTTCGGTACATACCTAATATCCCTACTACTGTAATGATGATGCAAATCCTTGGTTTGTCAACAACATGCACGCTCTCGCCGGTTTCACCAATGTCATAACTGCTCACGAATGAGTCACATTGGGTTTTTCTTTCACATTGAAAACATTTTAAAACACTGTTGAAAGTGACGTTAAATTAAAATCAAATCATAAATATGGCTACTCGTTTGTTTACAATTCTTTAAAACAATCATAGGTGTGCCACTCTTTACTGCAGAGAACAACCCTGTCATGCATATATTAATACACAAATCGATTGATCAGTAACAAGGGAAAAATGAAAACTAAATCACTACGCTGATCATATCATGAAATATATTACTCAGAAGACATCTGATAAGATGGTAATGTGGCTGTTGAGCTTCTAGCGCCTCACTTACTTACTTACTTACTTAAGTTGGAGATTTTACATGCGCTTTCCGACTGATGCGTATTTCGCACACGGTGCGCCTCACAGGCAGCTTGGGTTTTTATACTCCCCGGGGAGCTGAAAAAGTTGTTAAGTGCACACTGATCCATTGACCGGGGGTAATAATGCGCGTTGAGCATGATATTGAGCAGGGAGAAACGCCATATAAATTCACTACTATTACTATTACTATAAATACAAAATGTGAACATAAGCGCATCATCAGGAATTCAGAGTTCTTTCCTTTCAATCACACAACTAAGGCTGATCTCCCGGACTGATCTACATTAGACTATAAGTCGATATTAGACGGACAGAGTTACCATGATGTTACCGGGACGACGGAGATCTGCCATTCAACATTCAACATTCAACGCTATTAAATATACTTTATTTCTCTTCTGGTTATGAAACTAAAACAACGTGTAAAGGCACATTTTTCAGACACAATACAATAAAAACACAGCCATGTACCTGTAGACATGTCGGGGTGCATGGGTGGTGGTGGTGCATGGGCAATGTGGACATTTTTCGGTCGATAGGGACTTGTTTGGTGATGGAGTTGAATGTGATAGGATTGAATGGTATGGGTGCCACGTCAGAACGAAGAGAACAGTGGCATAGCGGAGGGTGTGCCAGGAGCAGAGAGGGTAGAGATGAGTTGCTGGAAGCAGAACGCTACGGATGGGGTGCTTTCGCATAAATTTAGTGGTGTGGTTTAATTATACGTTTTATACGATTTACCTTAGTCCGAAATTGGCAGTTTTGTCGTTTTGTTTGTTTCAGATCGTGATCATGAATTCGACGCAAGGATTATTCCATAATTGTTTAACAGACACAGAATGAAGACATTGTTGAGAAATTATCACTTGGTGACATAAAAGAAAGAACACTCTTTGAATTTTATGCAAAAACTAGTCTTGTGATACAACACAACCCTTACGTCAAATAGTGTTCTTTGGGTGCAACACCGTGACATGACGACGGGTACAGTGTTTCTAAGGAACATCATAGACCTTAGTATTGTTCTTTAGGCACATCGCTGCCCCTGTTATAAAATAGTGAGTGAGTTGGGTTTAACGCCGCTTTGAACAGTATTCCAGTTATATCGCGGCGTGTCAGCTTAATGTGGTAAGGAAAGCCCGAAGTGATGCAGGTCTCAGACGTTTACCACTTCGGTGAAACCCACGAGCACGGGTATGGTGCTGACAAACCTAGAAACATAATCGTGGCGAACCGGAATTCGAACCCACAATCATAGGTTTCTGGCGCACCCAAAGGACGCAACTCTGCACAGCGAATCGCGGCGCCTTAGACGACTGGGTCACCCGTGCCCCATTTTATAAAATAATATTCTTGACATCCACTCTTCTCGAAGTACAAATCTCTTCTTACGGTCCAACAATGCATTGGTATTGGCGGACATCCCTTCCCTTGAAGTACAACACTCTTACTGAGCCACAACAATGGTGTTGGCGGACATCCCTTCCTTTGAAGTACAACACTCTTACTGAGCCACAACAATGGTATTGGCGGACATCCCTTCCCTTGAAGTACAACACTCTTACTGAGCCACAACAATGGTATTGGCGGACATCACTTCCCTTGAAGTACATGGCCATTCTTGGTTTACCCGTGTTCTTGAGATATAACCCAGATTAGAGTTAAACGCTTTCAGCAAGGCTCAATACTATGTCTTAGACACAGGGGTACATCTCTTTTCTTGAAAAAAACCCAATACAGTCTTTAGTGTACACTACTGTCGTTGATCATGATGAAGTACGAACTCGTTATATAAGTACATGCATAATACTGTCCTTAACGCACACAGCTTTCAGGGGTAAGTGAGGCACACTTGTTCATAAAAGAATACAAATATTGGACGCTCTCACTTTCATGTGAATCTCTGCCAATAAACAAAATAAGAGAACCACTATATCTATGTTGTTGCTTATTTAAAGGAATAATATAAATATTTGTTATATAAAATGCAACTGGTGAGTATCAAGTTTACTATCTGTATATTGTATCAAAAGGATATAGAGTTGTGGTATTCCGTACAAAAGGCAATGCGGCTGACTGTAGCTGAAAAAAACACCCCATCATTCCTCGACGCTGCTGGATTCCAAACGTCAGAATCATCAGTCTCGAATATCTGCCTCAATAAATTCCAAAGGACGTAAAAGGCAGAATGATGAAAATGTTATGAATGGTTCACTGAAAATATGTGTGTGCCAATTAGTCCCTGAAAAGGTCATATAATGGGGTAGTAGCGTGCTTCATGTTGACAAGTGACGTGTCATAATTATTGAATTCCCATGAAGTGAAGTCCAAACAGGAAGACCAGCAACTCATGTTTTGGGGTATCTGCATAATTCAGAGAAAATCTATTTTCATCACATCCATCAAAAGTTATAGCATTATATTTCTTAAACCCTTTCTTGGAAGCAAAGAACCTTATTGATAAGAGAGTGTAATTTATCTTTAAAATTGTCATGAGGTAGAGTTGTACAAAGGGTGGAAAAATCAAAATGGTAAAATTCAAAATGTTTTTCCTTGTCTGATATTGTGTGAGTTCAAGTAAATCTTATTCAGTTTTCAAGATCCACATGTCGTTAACTCCACTTGTCTCATATATTCTCTAACACTATTTAATAAAGCTTTCCTTGGTTGCCTTCAGAATTATTATAGAAGTTTGACAGTTTGAAACAGTGCTATCTCAAAATTACCTTCATAATCTACAGTATTATGAACATGCTTATAACTTTTGGTCCCGACCATTTGCTGTGTATCTTATCATATACAATTGATGGATATAACGAACACGCTTATAACGAAATTATGGCTATAGAGAACTCACTTTGTGGTCCCGTTCTTTCTCATGGTTCACCAAAAAACTTCTACAATCTGCCTCACAGTTCACCATCATAACCTACAACCTGTCTCACAGTTCACCATCATAACCAACAACCTGTCTCACTGTTCACCATCATAACCTACAACCTGTCTCACAGTTCACCATCATAACCTACAACCTGTCTCACAGTTCACCATCATAACCAACAACCTGTCTCACGGTTCCATCATAACCTACAACCTGTCTCACAGTTCACCATCATAACCTACAACTTGTCTCACAGTTCACCATCATAACCTACAACCTGTCTCACAGTTCACCATCATAACCTTCAACCTGTCTCACAGTTCACCATCATAACCTACAACCTGTCTCACGGTTCAACATCATAACCTACAACTTGTCTCACAGTTCACCATCATAACCTACAACCTGTCTCACAGTTCACCATCATAACCTACAACCTGTCTCACAGTTCACCATCATAACCTACAACTTGTCTCACAGTTCACCATCATAACCTACAACTTGTCTCACAGTTCACCATCATAACCTACAACCTGTCTCACAGTTCACCATCATAACCTACAACTTGTCTCACAGTTCACCATCATAACCTACAACCTGTCTTACGGTTCACTAACATAACCTACAACTTGTCTCACAGTTCACCATCATAACCTACAACCTGTCTCACAGTTCACCATCATAACCTACAACTTGTCTCACAGTTCACCATCATAACCTACAACCTGTCTTACGGTTCACTAACATAACCTACAACCTGTCTCACAGTTCACCATCATAACCTACAACTTGTCTCACAGTTCACCATCATAACCTACAACCTGTCTTACGGTTCACTAACATAAACTACTATCTGGCTTTCGGTTCACGATCATAACCTACAATCTGATAAACGGTTCACCAACATAATCTACAATTTGTTTGACGGTTCACTATCATAACCTTCAATCTGATAAACGGTTCACAAACATAATCTACAAAGTGTCTCACTGTTTACCATCATAAACTACATTCTGTCTGACGATTCACAATCATACTCTACAATCGGTCTAACAGTGCACCATCATAACTTACAATCTGTCTCATGGTTCACGAACGTAATCTTCACATTTGTCTGACGGTTCTACATCATAACCTACAATCGGTCTAACGGTTCACCATCATAACCTACAATCTGGCGGATAGTTCACCATCATAAACAACAATGTCTAACGGTTCACTAACATTATTTACAATTTATCTCCCATTTTACCATAATAAATTACAATCTGTCTTACAGTTCCATAATCTAAATTTTCTCACGGTTCATCATCTACATGTTATCACATAAATCTACAAGTATGTGCTGGCAAGGAAATGAGCAAACACTTTCATGACAATCAACAGGATAGTGGTTTTATCATAAGTGGTAATCCGTGCATCTGGTGAAATGTATTGACACACATCCGCATAATGAGGGCAGCGAGCTGCTTATACCACTAACAACTCATGCTAACAAGTGGAACTGGTTAAAAACTCGCAACCTTTTTTTTGAGTAAAGTAGTTAACACAGATAGGGTAGCTACAATCTTTAAATATCATTTACATAGTTTCTTTTTACGTACTAATAATATTACTGGAGAGCACATCGTGTTGCTGCGATGTGATAGCGATTGTTTATAAAGGAAAGTAAAATATGACAACAGTGCATATTGAAGAAATCATTTTTTAAATCATATTGAACATTGCAATAAAGTTTGAATGGTTAACTCGACCAATCAACCCTCTCCATATATTGGGGCAAAATTACTTTTAGAATAAAAAAAATAATTGTTGATCTGTCAGTACTGTACTGTGCGCAGTGGTTTGACCACAGTGGTAAAGGACGTTAACACCCCCAGCAGTCTGCATGTAGGACGTACATCACTAGGAGATGTAGAATAACCGAAATACGGACTAACTGTCCCATGGGAATGAATGGTGTTCATCCGAAGCCTTTGGCGAGGACTTACAGCACTCATTCACGAAGACAAATAATTCGTAATTCCGAGTTTCGAGTGGGTTATTCTATACATCACTCATGGACATTTTTTAGAGAAACTTCGCTGAAGTAATGTAATCAAACGTATTTTGTCTCAACAATGGAGCATTGTCGCGTCATATGGTTTCAGTTGTCAAATCAGCACCGAGAATCGCTGTAATGCACATGTGCCAATATTGGAAAGTTATTTCACACGACCATTCTACCCTGATGGGTAATATTGTCACTTACAGGCTGCTTTAGAGACAACCACACACAACCAGGCAGCATATTTCTGCAGGCAGTGGAGTGAGTAGGTATTATCTGTTGATTAAAATGGACAAAATTGGCTACCCCATCGTCATCAAGTATCTCCAACTGAAAGCTCTAACTTCAACAACCATCCATGTTGACAACATCACTGTGTAGTGTCACTGTAGCGGGTGGTGCTCCTTTCTCTGTCGCTGTCAAGAGGGGTGGACAGTGGAGTTCAAGAGGGAGAGGCGGAGGCTCGAAGATGACTCAAGATCAAGACCTTCCACTGCCACTGCTTCAGTTGAAATGTTGATAAAATACATGGTACTTGTGCACTCCAGTATCGCTAGCTAAAGTGTGTGAATCTCGTAAGGGATGATGTTGATAAATAATTAACAGCCAACTCTATCAACGCAGTCCATGTGTTCGGCTTAGAGTTTTTCAGATATCCCTAGTACTATAACTTTAATAATAAAAACAACGGAATTTACAGGTAACATTGGCTACATGTTTTGGTTAAGAGAAATCGAGAGACCGACACTGTTTAAAAAACCCCGTAAAGTATACCCACGAAGAAGGTATAAGCTTACACATTGATAGTATTTTCTTTTTTAGATATACAATAATAATTCCGATGAAGGCATGTCAATTATTATGGACAGACAAAGTAACGGTCAATTATTATGGACAAACAAAGTAGCGATTAATTATTATGGATAGAAAAAGCACCGGTCAGGTACAGTGTAGTATATGTATAAAAGCCAACACTTATTGATGTGACCCGTCACGGTTTGTAAAGGGATGATTCAGGCTGCTGATTGGTGTATTTGTGTGAGAGAGTTAAACTCTTAGTCATCTTTATAGCAGTCAAAATTTGAATAATCTGTTTCTTTCGCATTTGCGAAGATATAAATGTAGGTTTAAAATTAAGTGGGGACACGGTATATTCCTCTTATAGGTAGAAATTCCCTCTACGGTTGTTAATATGCAGCAGAAGTTCTCAGGTTAAATGGAAGTTGCATTTTTGTATTTTGTAATTGGTAGTACTCGGTGAATTTACACATTTCTGTCCTTTAGTCCTGTAAGAAACACATTTCAACGAACAATCAAAGCCTTTTTGGAATGAATGTCTGAAAGAACCTTCTGCGATGTAGAACGTAAACAAGTTCACCTTTCATCTCAATGCGCGCGTTTATTTGGTGTTTTACGTATACAGAATGAGTTAAGTGTAAGTTCTGGCCAAAACATTGTCATTTCCCACATTCTGTTATAGATGACAACGTATCTGATTGTTCTGCCCTGACGTCCTCTGAATGTGGAAAGTAAGTTATTGACGTCCTCAAGCGAGGGAAGACTGGACAACCCATGCCAAGGGAGGAATACCACTTCTTGACTAAGTATCCCCTTGTTTCCATGGATGGAGTTGACAAAGTGACGAGGAAGGACGGCAAGTACTTGGTCACCAAGGAAACAGTAGTAGAGTTAATCAGACATGCACACACAGAAACTCTCCATGGGGGTGAGAAGAAGACGCACAAGAAACTGTTAGACAAGTATGCCAATATCTCCAGAAGTTTGATTTCATCATACATCGGTCGCTGTGGGCGGTGTGTTGATAAACGTAGTAGGAAGGAGACAGCTTCAGGTGTGGTTGTAAACCTCTATCTGCCAGGGATTTGAACGAGAGAGGTCAAGTCGACTTAATTGACATGCTAACCATCAATGATGGCGGCTACCGATTCTTCTACATTACCAAGAATACCTCACCAATGTTATTCGACCTTTGAAAACCAAGGCTGTAGCTGAAGTCGCTCGTGAACTTTTATTCATATTTCTGGACATTGGAGCACCCCACATTCTGCAATGAGACAACGGAAAAGAGTTTACTGCTCAGATTATTCTCGAACTTGGATCAATGTGTTGGTGAATGGACGTCCTCGACATCCTCGGGGCCAGGGATCCATGGAGAGGAGCAGCGGCGACTTGAAACTCAGGCTGAGGGCATAGATATGGCATACGCTTCGTCCAATGGTCAATGGATACATCATATCATGAAACCATTAAGATGTAGGCTGAAGTCGTCTTTACCAGACGAGTTCCCCAACCGCATATCTCAAGCCACGAACGAAGAAGACCTATAAAGACTTCTTGCATGCCAGATGCTGTTGACGGCACTCTTGATGTGCCTGATGATGTTCACACTACCAATGTCGTGCCTGATGGTGAAGCTCCTGTTCATGCCAGATGTTGTTGACGCCACTGTTGACACTCCTGCTGATGTTAATGTTGCAGATATCGTGCCTGATATTGACACTCCTGTTGAGGTTAAGCCAGATACTGTTGACGCCACTGTTGTTGATGTTAATACTATAAACGTTGATACTTCAGATGTACCAGAATACACAGAATAGGAACTCATAAGGGAACAATAAGTGGGCGACTAGCAAGTAATCAATTTAAGTTTGTGGGATATTCCCGACTGAAACCTGCAGATGTCCCTGAAACAACATTATCTGTTCGTGAAATCGTGAGAACACATAGTGGTTGTGGCGGACAGGTGCCAATACAGGAGCAACTGTTTGACAAACAGGTGCTCCTGTTGGTAATCGGGTTTGTGATGCAATAGTGCATGAATTCACACAATTCGTATAAAAACTATGTGTTGGTGTGTAACATAACGCCGCGCCCAGTCATACTTCAATACTCTGTAGGCCTGTGCACAATGGAGTCTGGTCCAGACAATCTGGTGACACGAGAGCGCGTTTACTGATTTTGGCAGTGATTCACTATTTGATAGTGATTCATAAACACATGCTCATGGTATTGTCGGAATACTACAATAGGCTCCGCTTTTAGCAGAAAATTCTAATGTATGGAAAGGGATTGTCGCTTTTGTTTTGTTTAAGCTAAAAACAATATGTTAACTTTGAATTACGTCTGCAGAGATTCAGCTGCTTACATGCAAAGAGAACACTTTAGAAACATGTTTTCGAAGAAGCTTGCAAAAATTCTAAGTTTGGGGATACAAAATAATGCATATGGTTTTAAACGAAACATCAACAAGGAGTCCTAGCGATGTTTTGTATGTCATGAAACACATATTGTAATCGAGAAACAGGATTCCAACTGACAATATGTGAATTCGATAGGAATAGTTGTGAAAACATACCCTATATTCATAATTATATGTCTATCAATGTCCGTAGGTTTCCTTCATCTTTCCATGACTATTGCGAATAAACTTATAATCACTTATAGCATACTCACATACCTACACATGCATGACATAGTTGACCAAGTTGACATGCGTTGTGCATGCATGGGCAAGTACGTCAATACGCCATATAACTGCGGGTTGGACGCATCAATTCCCACAATATAGGAAACCGTGGCCCGGCTAAGTTTTTGCGAGGTAAATCCACATTCTCTCACTAACAATGTTCCCTTCTTTATTTCAAGGATGAACAAGGCCCTTAGCACTATATGCCTATCATACGAGGCGATGAGAATGGATCGGATGGTTCGGTTGATAGCTTGTCAGTGTACCCCGACGGCGTGGGACGTTGCTCATTATATTAACCACTGTTTTGATATTTTCAGGCCACCGTTATATACTAGGATTATTGTTGATTGTGGCTTTTATCTACATGCACTCACACACTTGTGCCGAATGGTATCACAGTTGCGTCTCGTGTGTCAATAGTTTGTGTTAAAATATCACGAGGGAATATGTCACAATCTATGCATATTTTAGACGTTTACCACTGAAGATCCGGGTTAGAAGTCTTCAGTAACCAATGCTTGCCGTAAGAGGCGACTATACTTGTCGTAAGGGGCGACAGACTGGATCGGGTCGTCAGGCTCGCTGACTTGATTGATGCATGTCATGATGTATCCCAATTGTGTGGATCGATACTCATGATGTCAATCACTGGATTGTCTGGTCCAGACTCAATTATTTACAGACTGCCGCCATATAGCTGAAATATTGCTGGGTGCGGCGCAAAACGGGTATTGGAATTCCTAACCATGAAACATAATTATATAATGTTGGTTTTGGTATTAAACTTCGGTTATCAAGGTGACGAGTTTGAATGTTTATTTATGTCCTGTTCAAGGCCACAAAACGATACTGGTGGAAATGCTTCATACCACCAACATTAACTAGAGAATGAGAGTGAGTATGGTCTAACGTAGCTTTAAACAGTATTCCAGTTATATCACGGCGTGTCACCTTGATCTTGATGTGTGTGTTGGGGGGGGGGGGGGGGGGGGGGGTCTCTTAGACGTTTACTTAGACGTTTACTACTTTGTTGAGAGCCGCAGGTTTAGTATTGACAAACCATAAAACATTATGTTGAATTTGCTCCTCCAATCATAGGTTTCTGGCTCATCTAAGGGACGCCACTCTGCACAGCGAATTGTGGCGCACCAAATATCCTACGACAAATGATTCACTGATCCGTTTCAACGACATATGAATTGACTGAATATTCAGTGGGCGTCTATAATATTTGAAGTGATGGAATAACTGGCGAAGAGATATGTAGTTGATTGAAGTAGATTACTCGTCAGCTTTGCGTCAGAGCAATATCCGCATCGGGCGGCGCTTGACATATGATGACACGGAAACCAACTACGTCATCTCATGTTATACATGTATATAAGAAATACGAATACCGCATTTGAGTGTGTTCTGTTTCTCTAGCCAACATGCAGTCCGCTGTGCTACTGTTGTTTTGCTCTGTTATGTCAGTGGGTAAGTTCTAGGCAGAATATTATATACATTCTTTACAATCGCCTTGTCTGATATTAGACAAGATATTTTCAAAGCTTGCTTTGAAATTGAGCAACTTATCATTTATCTATATTGTTTTCTTTGATGTTTAAAAATCTACGGGTTCATATTTAAAACCAAACAGACCTTTCTTGAGATACAGTTACTTTAAATTTAATAACTTGCGAGTAAACAGTTGTAGATATGTCCACACAGTTGTCTCCTGTACACCAGGCCGTGAGATGCCATACATCCCGAGAAGCCTACTGCTTAGGTTTTGGTTTGGTTTCTTTTGTTGTTTAACGCCGCACTCTGCATGACGGCGGTCGGTAAATAATCGAGTCTAGACCAGACAATTCAGAGATTGACATCATGAGCATCGATCCACGCAATTGGGATCGATGACATGCATCAACCAAGTCAGCGAGTCTGACCGTTCCCGTTAGTCGCCTTTTACGACAAACATGGGTTGCTGAAGACCTATGCTACCCCGGGTTTTCACGGGTCCATACCGCTTAGGCTTTGAAAAGTCATGTAAATTTTATCATGTTTCTTAACAAAATTTCAGCTGATCATAGGTATGACAGTCAAAACCCTTAAGATGAACAAGGATATATCTAGATAAGTTTTAATTTAATCTGTTGTGCGTTGCTGTGGCCAAGTGTACAACTGAAGGATCTGCCATTTTAGAAAATATGTCACATTCATTTCATAATTTCTCCCCCCTCATACTTCTGCTTAAATATCAAAACAATTCGAAGTCAAATTTGTGATGGTAAATCGCGACTTGCTACATGATAGTAACTTTCTTTTAAATCCTGGTATCACTCACCACGCACACTTTATGTTTGTGAGATCTAACCTATATCCTGGACAATTGCTGTAACATTCCTAGAGACTGACCAGCCAATAATACCTTCATAACATAACGTGTTTGCACAGAAGACATTTGATTGGCTGTGTCCAATCAACTCATGCATAAGGATTTCCTTTTCCTGAAGAAAGTAATAGCTGACAGGCATTATTTCGTCCTGCGGGAACTGCTAGCTACTGAGTGAATACACTGTGTCTGCAGTTCTACTTTACAGATAGTCTGGTTGAGAGAAAAATTAGAAACATTGAACGGTTTAAATATTATTCACGACCTCACTCTCGACCTTATACATTTTAATGAGATTGGACCTCATAACATTTAGACAGAGTTAAAGTGGCTTGGACTCCTAAATGATGAAGGATCCGCACGTCTTTGCTTATATGTAGCCAACTTCAATCTGTACCAAACTGCCGGTCAAAAGCAAGTATACATTTGAAAATTGGATTTGACAAAAAACACGTTTTCAAAACGTTACTGGGCTGAAAACACTCGCCGGAACATTGCAAAGGTCGAAAACACAGTTATGATATCCGTATCAAATACATCACCAATCGAAGAACCATTTCTTGTTTAATTCATTTTATTGCCCCCGCCAAACATACGAAGGCCTAATTATGCCACTTTGGTACCATAATTTTATTTTTTTCAAATCGAAATTTCTCGTTATTTCAATTATTTTCGCGTTACTTCGAGTTTTTTCTCGTTACTTCGAGTTTATTTGTAAAACTTGGAATTTCGATTTTGTCTCGTTCTTTCGATTTTTTTCTCATGATGGATATTATTTAATTTTATTTGATATATAATTTCCAATCATTGGTTTGGAGGCTTACATTTTGATACTGAAGGTTGTAGGATACATAATTTCGTTAATGTTCTGGAGAATTTCGCATTTATCAATTGCCGTTCTATTTTCAGGTCTTGGGTCCAACGGTTTCTATTTCTGGGACCGTACAGAAGTTGGCATCAATCTAGGTGAGTCATACTACGTTAGATGGGTGGGGGGCCGCCTCTGTGGTCTAATGGTACAGCGTCAGTTCTGAAATTACGTAAATTTAGGGTCCCTTGATACTCGAGGGTTTCGCCATAGAACTGTAGTTGTTTATCCGTACACACAATTACATTTCGATTATTATATGTCTTGGTGTTGGCGATCATAGACTGACTATCATTGCTAGATATGGTTGGGATGTCTCAAGACGTAAAGGCACAAGATTGTTTTCCTGGGTGTCAAATTGCTATTCATAACCTGATTTTCGTGTACCATGTGAAAAGGAGTATGTGAACTTCCGTGGTATGCTATACAACTACCATTACTATTACTGGAGGTAACATTAAATGTATAACCAAAATAAAACTAATTATTTTTAAATAATCCAAATATAGGCATGGCATTACATTTTCCTATATCGACTGTTGGAGATGAAGACACACAGTTTGATGATGAGGACCTTCTCTCTGGGTCGGGCTCTTCTGATTATTCAGGTGAGTGGCCAAGAGCAATATAGTCTCACAGAAACTCGGTGTAATTCCCATGCTCATCACTGAGCCCTCTCCTATGACGGGAACGTGTTGTCATGGTGTGAAAGTTAGTCTCGGCGGACTAGCTCTAACCTGGGCTGTGTTTTATTTGACACCGCCATGCAAATCAGCGCCTTTATAACGAGAAGATATGGACACTTGTCCATTTATCTGGGGCTACTCATGTGCGTGTTCACTCCTAGAAATGCTGCTTTATTCTTGTAACATCAGCAGAAAGCAGCACAAATAAAACACCCTGCGATATATAGAAGTTCAACACCCCTGATGATCTGTAATCTCACAAATTTACAAACCTCTTTTTGTGAAAGCTATCGTTACCTATTGGTCCAAAAGAATGCTTCGAAGCAACATATTAATTTAGAATGCTTTATAATAATTAACCAATAGGGATTATTGGGTAGTTTCACAACATGCGTTGGATCTATTTGTCTTCCGACATTTAAATATGTTTGAGGGAGAATTGGAAGACGAGATAAAGAGGATGTATTGTATTAATTGAGCTGCATCCGAAAACATATCCGACTCTGACTAAAGGTTCACGTGTGCGTTCCATGTATACATGTTCAGTGTTGTTCACAGGTTCCGGATCTGGGACACATGAAGTGTCTGTAACTACCACCTCCTCATCACCACAAACACGAGGTGAGTAAAGCTTTTGAAGAACGTTATATTTCAAGAACAAACTGTAGCAATTTATCGAAAACAGTAGCTATAACATATATACATTATTGTTACTTGTTCTGAGGCTAATTGTAACTCTATCTCCGCAGGTTCCAGTACAGCTGAGCCTTCACAGATGCGTATTTCACAGTCAACAGGTAGGTCGCATAAACAGGCATAAGATTTGATCAGATTACACGAGATTACTTTCTGTATCCTTTCTTATACACAGACAAAACTGACTTAACGTATAGAATAATAAAGATAAAAAACAACAATATCATTATCCGTTCTGTGACTAAATCTAACTTCGTAACCACAGGTTCAACTACAACTGAATCTCGAGAGACAACCACTGCACCAGCAAAGACAAAGTCGACAGGTAAGTCACACGAGTTTGATCAGCTTGTTTTCAACAACTACTGTAAAAGGTTTTCTTTCTGAAGAAAATTTAAATAATTTTCAATGAAATATGACACATGCATGAAATTGTACGCTAACCAAATGTCACTTTTAAACCACAGGTTCAACTACAACTGAATCTCGACAGACAACCACTGCACGTCCAAAAGCAGAGCAACATCACCAGTCTAGAGCAACATCACCAGGTAGGTCACAAATAGATTTACTAGGTTTGAGAAGCTTTTCATTTTTTGACGGATTAATACTAAGAAAATAACGAATAAGACAATAAATTTTAACAGAGAACTAATGCTGATCCTGACTATAAAACTTTCACAACAGAGATTCGATGATTCCGGTTAACATCATCGATACATGCAACTCTAATTTGTAACCACAGATTCAACCAAAGCAGACCAAAGGGTATCCACGTCCAGGTCAACAGGTAGGTTACGTCGATGGTACTGTCCAAACTACGACTGACATGAAAGATGTACCTTTCAGTGATGAACCCAGTTGCTGTGAGATACAAAACATCATATGGCGTAGTCATACTGATGTGATTAATTAATGCGTCTCCAAATTAATACGACTGCTGACCCCTAGCCAAAACTGCGACTCCCCCCTCCCCAGTGGAATGATACATATCCTTACCTCAATCCAATCAAACAGCAAACAACACCCCTTTTTAGCTCTGAGTAGAGCACTTCCGTTAAAAACAATAAACACTGTTTTATTAAAAAGAACACACATTTTATATGTATACTCTGTTCACTGGCATTAGTGAAGTTCAAAGGCAATAAAAATCAATAAACTAACAACAATTCACAGTGGGTAGAACTCTTGACCCCAGCAGTGATAACTCACCGGATGCCCATTGTGTAATTCCTATTCTTTACATGATATTGTTATAATCTTGTTACAACTGCTGCTCAGTAAATCGTGTTTGTGTTTATATTCAAGTTGGCATTTCCGCTATCCTAAGTTTGCAGTGAGGCCGTCTTATTGTTGATAGTATTTTGGAGACATAAATGCGAAGTTAATTAATGCGAGCAAAAACCACGCGTATTTTTCGCATTTAATTCACGCTCGCGTTAATTCCAAGATCAACAGTGTATGGAAATAAAACTATGCACACTTGCACAATATTAAGAATCACGATCGTTCATCCACCTTTGGTATCAATAAGTACATTGTTTTTTTGCTCATTTCAGGCACAGTCGGAGACAAGACGGATATTACCGATGAGACAAGACCTTATCTAATAGGTGGCCTCATAGGCTCAGGCTTGGTACTCCTACTGGTTGCCATCGCCCTTGGTGTCGTCATCAAACGCAGAGCATCACGCAGGTGAGTGAGGATAACGGGTCAAAAATTACGTTTATTTTATCTCGTTCTGGACTTTGTTCCTGTGACTAGCGGATCCTGGCACAACCCAACTGCGGACATCTCGTGCCCTTTAGTGTCATTCTTCCATCCTCCGATGGGTGTCGCTTCGCGTAGCGCAGCGAGAATAGCGCCGACCATAAGTCAAACCAGTCGATATTATAGTCCATAATAACCAAATTTTGAATGTGCGAAGAAAATGCCGATCCATATTTCAATACTTTCAAACTTGAAGAGTTGTTTCCCTTTAAGCATCTTCAACATTCTCCTTTCTGAAACTCATGTTCTCCCTTTCACAGGAACGAACATTTACTCGATGACGACGTGAGCGATGCAAACCACCAGATACAACATATACAGCGTCTGATCAGCTAACCCAGCAAGGCAGTTATACTCGATGCAAGTCTCAATGAAACGTCCTGATGTAGAGATTGCGTTTGCAATAACGTACATACAACATATCGGGGTTACACACGGTTGCACATGAGAAATTGTCTACGCTATGTTTGCATACACTGGGAAAACGTAACTGTGATCATGTTAATGTATTTATCAATTATTTTGTGTTCTTTTAGAAACACGAAACTCAAACCGTCTTTATCTTATATTTAATGTGTTCTGGTGTTTAATTGGGTTAACCTGTACTTTACACAATTCTTTATAGCCTGACTACCAATCGTTGTGCCTTACAAAAAATACATCGAAATAATGTTGGTTTCTTTGAATCACCAGTAGAAATGAACATCAATTTAAAGAGGAAAGTAATTAGAAATCCTTTTGCAAACAACAAAAGATCTGAGATTCGAACCCACGATCATTGGGTTCCGGCACCATTAAGGGACGCAACTCTGTAGAAACTCACAGTGTTAAACAGTTTTATTTATCAGAAGAATACATCCGTGTTGAAACCACTTCCGTCAAAAAACATCCGCAGCAGAAATATACTACCATGTTTTCAGACAGCTAACGGAAGCGTTGGTACTTGATACCGTAGTTTCCATCCATGTCCATTTGTTTGAAATAAAGAGAAATTGTAAACAGAGATTGTGTCCAGTTTGTTTTTAATGTTGTTCAGTGTTCACGATGTCCGGTGTATTTATGTGATGAGGACATTGCATTATCAGAATTTCACAATGCATTGTCGTTGGTTTTAATGACTTAAAAGTAAGTACTTAGAGTTGTTTAACAGAGTGAATTTAAAGATATTGGGATTGACATGGTAATATTCAGGTATATACTTAGCCCTTAATGTTGCATAAAATGGGCATAGACGAAGGAAGTGGTATTCATCTTCAATGTCAATTATGGCGCACAATTGACAAATCTTCTCTTTTAATACCCGTGTAACGTCCAGTTTCAATAAATACATCGTGTGAACAACATCGAAATCTTGCTGGGGAAACTCGGATTTTTTTTACATTTAAACAAGATAAATACTGTTCGGGATATAAATCATTTTTTACCACTTTGTAATAAATACATTTGTTTGATTCAGATACAGGTTGAGACCAATTTTGTAAATATATATCTCTTAGTCTTTGTGTTAATGATCTAATGAAATAAGAATGACATTGTAGATTTTGTTCACACCATACATAGCCATAACCAACAGAAAACAGCAAGTCTCTTCCGTCTGTTACCCAATTTCGTTTTCCATTTTTATCAAAGAGTATAACATTTTTGGGGGAACCTATAAGATGGCAAATTCAATAATCTTAACCAATATTTGATAACATTTAGATATGAATATATATAGATTGGAAATCTGCCACAATCACCATATACCATAACACTTGGTGTATTAACCTTAACACCAAGGAATTTCTTACAGGCATATAAATGTATTTTTTCTATTTGTTCAAGCTTACTGAGTCCCCATGTCTCTGTTCAATATAGTAATATCGGACTTATCTTTAAATCAAATATCTTGGAGGACGACTTGTAAGTAATATTTACAAGAGTAAAGATTTGTTTTAACACACCAATTAATACCTTTTGAGCTAGCATCGGTGCTTGCTTTGCATGCATAGACCGACTAAGATGATTTGTAAAGCATACACCTAAATACTTGTAGAAAGAGGTAGTATCGTCCGCAAATAATTGTAAAAATAATTGTGTCATGTCAGGATGTAGTTGAATTCCATTTGTACACTTATCTTGAATTTGTGTTGCTAATTCATTTATAAAAAATGAGAACAATAAAGGACTTAGTATGCAACCTTGTCTCACTCCAAGTTCACTATCAAACATTTCCGTCAGTTCTCGGTTATTTCTGACACATACTTTTACATTTTCATAAATATTACATAGAAGTTTGCTAATTTTACCACTAAGACCATGGGAATACAGAAGTGACCATAACTTATGTCGTGGTACAGAGTCAAATGCCTTTGCAAAGTCAACGAATAGAGCATAGAACTTTCCACCTTTTGTACTTAGATACTTTTGTACGATTGTTTGTTGTATAAACATATTATCAATAGTTGTATAATCTTTTTCTAAATCCAGCTTGGGCTTCACTTATTTTATCCATAACATTAAACAAGAACACTAATCTCTTGTTAATGATAGATGTAAATATCTTACTGAACATGCTTTAAAGGGTAATACCTCTGTAATTATTTACGTTATTTATATCACCTTGTTTATGGATTGGGACGATAATACCAATCGACCACGAATTTGGAAAATGTCAATTTTTCCAATATCAAATTAAATATTAATTCTAAGTATGGAAGTAGTAAATCTGAAGGATGTTTAAAGAATTATTCACGAATAGTATCATCTATACCAGCTGCCTTGTTACTTTTAAGATTATATATGCTTTCTAAAATCTCATACCTCGTTATTGGAGAATCAGGAATATCCTCGGTAACATTTGTGTTTGTATCATATCGAGCGGATCTATCTGGTACTGTAGGCGCTGCGTCAGACTGGTCTTCAATGGTGGGGGATGACAAAAGATTTGTAAAGTGTTGGTACCAATCATTGGTGGTAATATTATTGCTAGATGCATGTTTTTTATTTACACTTTTGAGATTAGACAAGAATATTTTAGAATTATATATGCTTTTTTCCAAACACTGTTGTTTTTGTTTATAAAATGTATCTCTCTTTTGTCTACACACAGCATTATACTTTTTTCTAATGCAATTGTACTCATCTTTCTTTCAAAACCTATTTAGAAGTTTGCATCTTACCCTTTTCAGTCTCTCCCACTCAGCGTCAAACCATTTATTAACAATAACATCTGATTTTATATTACGGATTTGTCGTTTCATATCGGCACCAGCCAAACATATCGCTTCTACGATATATTCTACGCTGCTATCAATATTGTTAAACGCTATTTCGACAGATTTATTCAGTAAGTTTTGGACACTATCTGTTAAAAAGTTTTGTCGAAAGAGCTCTTGTTTGTCGTAATCCCATACAAACTTAAACGACCTATCACATTTACTTCCATCGGATAATTTCAATGTGAGCGGAAGAAGTGCCGATTCAGTACGTGACCGTATCGTAAAATCACTCGTGTACTCAAAAAGCGATGATGAGGCAATAACATAATCAATAACAAATATAAACACATTTGCACATATAAACATATAATCTCCCACTTGGGAATCTGTGCCACATCGTCCGTTCATAATATGAACATTTAACACTGTACATAGATCTAACAGACATTTACCGAAATTATTTACAGTTTTGTCAGCTGAGAATCGCTGGACGTTAAAATAATCAAGAAGGAAACCCCAAAGGAGTGATTTTGACTTTCAGTGCGTTCAATTATGTCGTCCTCAACAAAATCGTGTTTGGTGCCTGTACAAGCATTAAAATCTCCGCCACACGAGATATAAACATTCGGGAGATTAGATAGTATGTCTATAAGTCTATCTTGGAATATTGTTATTCCATTTTTGCAATACAAGCCAAGTTTGTTTAATTGAGGCCGGGCTCTCACTGGTTGGTTTACTCTTCGGTCCATTTTCGAAATGAAAATAACATCACTCTCAATTTTATGTCAGTACTTTTCAAATTCTTTACTTTTCTTTCACACGACTTTGTTTTTTATTCACTCACCAGATGATCAGACTCGGAGTTAATAAAATCAATCTTTAAACTAGATTATTTTTCCACATTCCTGATATCTGAGTCGGCGGATCCGTAAACCAACCCAGATAGCATTCAGGCGTTGGCCCAAAGTCGGCAACGGTTGTCAGTGTCGCTTTCGGATTTCATACGTTGACCCAACGTTGTTACAACGTTTGGTCGCAACTCGGAAATTATTTTCAAGGGGCGCTACTCTTAATTGACAGCTTCTCATAGAGGGCGCTGCGTTTTTTTTGCGCCTCTCTACGAGCAGACGACGCGACACAAGCACAAGCTCGATCATCGGAATACTGTTTTCCTCGAATATATAAAGGTAAGTGTTATTAATGTCTTGTTATAATGTTCAAACAGTACCTGATAAAAAAACCACATTGTTCATTCAGAAATATCAACACGAGTAATTATTTCCCAGAAATTAAAAACACCACGTTCACCAACTGCATGACCGAAGCCGAATAGGAATATGTCACTCTGATTGCTTACAAATATAGCATACTATTACTAGCATACCCAAAATAATCGAGCTTGTTCGTATCATAAAGTTTGTCGTGAACGTTGGCCCTGACTACTATCTGGGAACGTGGCACCAGTACCTAGAAGTTTGAATTTAAATATCTTTATTTACAGTCCGATACATAAAGTATGTCGAATAAAGGGCGATAACTCCAATAAATGTGATAATTACATTCAACATTTTGGTTCATTACGAAAGAAAGACATGATCAGGCATATTGAAACAACGGAGGGTAGCCGAAGATGTTTTCAGTCAGTTAATGGCGGCCTGAGACAGCTTTGACATATTTCATGAAGAGCATGCAGTGTCTTACAACAGATAAAAACGAACTCAACGCATCAACCAGGGTCATAGACTTAACACGCCATCACGTGTGATTTTGATATTCACGACATATCAACATATCACATGTCTTCTTTATATGTTGTAATAGTTGGGGTCTGATTGGTCAATACGCACATACTGATCGACATCGAGGCTGGAAGGGTCAGTACTGCTGACTGACGTAGTGTTGTCCATTTTAATGTAGGACTCATCCGGGTGGCCGCGATCCTTTCTGACATGACAGGGCTCAATACACCGGTCAGCGCTTGGAAGTTCAGGCAGAGGTTGTAGATAGTGGGGAGGGTAGCGGACATATCGGTCATCTTCGGACACTGGTTCCAGGTACTGACCGCAGCTGGCCGAATCGTGGCAGCCAGGGACTTCGGAGTTGTCAGATGGTTTGGCGTATATGCCGTCAAGATAAAAACTGTCTCTATATGGAGTTGCCTCTCCTAACACGAGTTCTTCCCCTTTGTTCGTCGTCAGTTCCATTTCATATGCAGGGTTATCATGCGGCCCTCGCATATCACATTCGTTTAATGTCGCGTACGTGTCGTCGGTTGACAACTTCACTTCCGTTGTGTCGTGAATGACATCTGGTACGTCAGCGTTCCGTGTTGTTACACCGTTGCAAGCCAAGGGGTTAGTTGCTGTGATGTTGGTCTGCAAGGCAGAAAACACATGCGTGAACAGGAGGTGAGGGGAAATGGGGTGTAACGTCGCGTTTACAATTATTGCACATAAATAGCGACGTACATGCCCACGTGGCGTTAAACAACAACCACACAAAAACGAAAAATGATGATACACGACTTTATATGATCACATAGACAGACTATCACGCGTCATTTAAAATACAGTGTTGAGATCCGCTGAACGTGGGTTCGAATTCAAGACTGGCCCTGATCTTGGATATTGGGATGACAGACTAAGGATTGTCCTAGGAGGGAATCGGATTTGAAACCACGATCGTGGGATTCCGGCATGCCTAAGGGGTCACCTTAACGCAGCGAACAATGAATGACTTACATTTAATGCCGCTGTGAGCGCTTATACCACGGCGTGTTCGCCTCATGAGAAGGAAGGAAAGCCCAAAGTCACACAGATCGAAGACGTACAGCATTGATGTGAAACCCATGAGCACTGATATGGGGCTGAAACGGAGACTCCTTATTGGGGATTCGAACCCACGATCCTCGGATCCACCACGTTTAAAAACAACGTGGCACGCCGAGCTCGACGCCTTAGGCCAGTAGAGACTAGTGAAGTGAGAGAGTTGGGTTGAACGCCACTTTCAGAAGTACTTCAGTTATCTCACGGCGTGAAATTGGTATCTATACTCACGTGTTCATCTAGATTGGTATAGTCACGTGACTGCCCGGTGTCAGTCTGACCAGCAAGCACACAACTGACCGGCGGAACGTCTTGCCTGTACGAACAATACACAGCAATACAACCAGTTACATTTCTTAACATAAAGCTATGATTTGATTGATTCAAACGTCATAATATATATATTTCGATGACGTAATATAAATGTATTGATAACAAAAATATAGATCATATCCCTTTTTGGCTTTGCAGCTGCAGATTGATTATTCCCCTAACTGTATTCGCCACACACTGCACGTCAAGACAGGTGGAGACTGCACACTGAGGTTTGAATGCCTGGTGGCGGTCAAAGATAAAGTCGCCCCTCAAATGTTCATTTTCCCTGAAACAATTATATTTTTCTGATGTTGTATGAAAATAATCGATGTTTCAGCATCACTTAGATAAAAACTCGTGATATTCAGAATAAACGGTCGCACTTGCGTTCGCTTCAGCGTATATTTCATAAGAAGTAATTCCAGGAAATGTATATGCGTTATGTTCATATTATGTGTGGCAGGGGCTTCAACGAAGGTGTATTTCATGTATGTTTTGTCTGTGGAAAGGGTAACTCCCTTATGCAAATATGTTTTGGACAAGCGAAATGTGAAATTACCTTCACACATGAACACACTAGTCAGCCAAAACAACGTTTAACATGTAAACCAGCAAATGTCAATGTAATCTGACCACGAGGCAGTTAAATGTGTATTTTAATTTAGAATAGATAACGCCTAAAGAAAACCTTTCGGGTCCATTTTCAGCTAAATCAAATACCGGTACACTTTTAATCTTCAAAGATTTTCGATTAATACGCTTCTTAAAATTCATGATACCATATAAATTGAGACAATTGGTGTTATCAGTGTAAAAATGCAACTATCCAGCCTACTTTCGCCTCTGTTTCTTCCTCCACATCAACACAGTGAGTCCCATGACAGCCAGGAGTACCATTGCAAGGAGTCCGCCGATTAATCCACCAACGAGAGATGAAGGCGAGTCCCTTGATTCCAGATCCGCGCCATCTTGCTGGGCTGCATCTGGTAGTAGTTGATGGTGCACATTCAGTCTTTCAATAGCATAATGGATTCAGATTGACTGTCATATTCCTACCTGTTTGAGTAACATAGTTTCATACGCGTGAGAAGTAGTGGGTTTGGCAGGAGTAGGGAGAACTTTGTGAGGGTTGTTTAGAGTTGGCGGCTTGTTTTAGGAGTAACCCCTCCCCACAGTAGAACATAGCACAATCACATTTTTCTTCACCCAACATTTGACCACAACCATCTTGTCCGTTGGATACATAAACATAAAGAAAATCTAAGTTTGCTTTGTTCTTCTATGGGGAGGGTAGATTGGCAGTTTGAGGTTCTGACAACTACTCTATAAACTTGGGGTCATTAATATATAATACCGTCAGCTCCCAGATACAGGCTCATTCACACACACAATAGCATTGCTTAGATACACATGCAGAGATACAGAGCAGCTGAATGGTTATGTGAAATGGAGGGTAACGTGGCGTTCAATCTCCTAACTCACATGTGCATAGTTTATACTGATTCCTTCTAACTCACTGACCCAGGTTCGATTCCCGACATGGGTACAATGTGTGAAGCCCATTTCTGGTGTCCCCCGCCGTGATATTGCTGGAATATTGCTTAAAGCGACGTAAAACCATACTCACTAACTCTAGTTCACGATGATATGGCTTGCCTATTTTGATTTGCACCATACACTCCCGTGCTCTTTCAGGTGAACAATTGACCTGCTTTTGCATGTGTTCGTGACGGGTGTCACCGGTGTGGCAGGATACGCTCACCTTTTCGCGAACACTTGGTATCATCACTATTTGTTAACATTCATAAACACGTGCTCATGATATTGTCGGAATCGTACACTCGACTCTGCTTTTGCCAGAATTTCTTATGAATATGGAAAGAGTTTTGTTGCTTTTATTCAAGAAAAACGACAAAACGGTAATACAATGGTTTCTTAACGAATATCAGCTGTACATTAGGTGGAGAGATGAGGTGTGGTGAATTTGGGTTTAACGTCTCGTTTAAAATTGTCGCACTTATATAACGACATGCAAGCACGTGTGCGTATATTAACGTGGACGCGTGTGCGTGTGCGCACCTGTGTATGTCGCGCGCGCGCGTGTGTGTGATATGCTTTATAATCAAAGAAAAATCATCACTTGATTAAACTGTATGTTCAGGTCTTCATTGCCTTTTCTTAACACTGACAGACGGTCTCCGTGGTCTAGTGGTAGATTGTCCGCCCGGAGAGCGGAAAGTCGGGGGTTCGTTCCCCGACCGCGTCATACCAAAAGACGTTAAAAGATGGTACTTGTTGTTATCCTGCCTGACGCTCGGCATTAAGGGGCTAAATCAAGGACTGGTCGGCTCGGTGTCAGTGTAATGTGTCGGGTATTCATGTTGAACTGCGGTATGGTATCTCAGTGTGCGCGCACAAACAGCCACACACACGTACATGCACGTCGCTATGTAAGTGCAATAATCTTGTACGCAACGTTAAACCCCATTTCGCCACACCTTGAACACTGACAACAGGCAACACATCGCCGCAAACACTACCTGGTACGGCTGTATCTCTCGGCGCTTGTTTGACGGTTTCACTCTGGATGAAGATGGTGTGGTTCATGGAGGGCGGCAGTGGCGGGGACACGACTGGCGAGCGAGATATCTGTGAGTGGACAGTCCGGTCGTTGTTGACCCCGGGCGTTAGTGCCGGGGCTACGGTTGTAGTTGCTGGCATCGAGCACATATGCTGAATACCTGCTCGATACAAACATGCTTTTAATTCATTTGCTGAGTGTTATCGTCATGATCTTCGTTTCAGTTTATCGCCATCATGTAACATTTAAGATGGATCACTATCTAAACATACATGTTAGGCTTACATTTTTCGTATATGTTCTCAAAAGTTGCCCTTCCATCGTCGCTCCATGCTTCGTAGATACATCGGAACCGACCACAGAATTCACTAAAGAAATAAACAAATTAGTGAACTTTACAAACCAGCAAGATGACTGCACAAGCTCTGTGCCTTACGCACCAACATGCCTCTACATGGGGAGAGGATCCAATACAATTCAACTTTGACAACAAAACATGCCTAAACTAATTAAACGACAAACCAAATACAAAGCCGCATATTTCTGCACGGTTAAAAAGGAATTCTTTTTGTTCACGAACCCTTATACCAACAAAATATAATCCGTTTCTCGATATTTCACATTTATTTCAGTTGCAATTTGCATGACACATGTCAACTGAACGAGTGAGTTTTACGCCGCTTTCAGTAATATTACAGCAATATCACGGTGGGGGACACCAAAATTAGGCTTCACACATTGCACTCATGTTAGGAATCGAGCCCGGGTCTACGGCGTGACAAGGGAACGCTGTAACCACAATGCTACCCCAGCGACCCTCAAATGAACGAGATAATTGTATATGTTCTCACCCACACTCCGATTTGTGAATTAACTCCCCTTGTATCTGCTGAGCGAAGTTTTGTATCTCAATCCGCGACGGCAGAGGGACGTTGATGCGCTGGCTGTAGTCACAGGTGATGGTGGACGCGGAGTTGATGTTACAGTAGAAATCTTACATGAAAATAAAAAAATAATGTGTATTATTATCGTCATGCAAGGTGTTACTTTGATCGGACTGTGGATTCGCGTGTATACATGGTGTAGTATCACAGGGTGAAACTTCTCAAATGTGATCTTATACTATGTATAGTATTCGGAGTTATTGGGAGTAATGAGGCCACACTGAAGGTCTGGATCCAGTGTTACGGGTGGGACCAGTTCTCCAAGGTGCCGCAATTCGCTGTGTAGAGTTGTGTCCCTTGGGCGCGCAAGAAACCAGTACTGAGTTATTGTGGGTAAGAATCCCTGTTCGCCGCGATTATGTCTCTATGTTTGTCAGCACCATACCCGTGCTCGGTCGGAGACCTGTGTCATTGCCTCCAACAAGAAGCTGACATGCCGTGATATAACTGGGATACTGTCCAAAAGCGGCGTTGAACCCAACTCACTCACTCACTGTTCCATGGTAATGACATCGTGTCGGAGTGTTCTCTAATGTATATGGTTAATCATTTTACCCAATAGACATGCATGGTGTGTTTCCCGCTGTCAGATCATGGGTGTTACCTTTAACGACGCCGAGCCAGTGGAAAACCACAGAGAAGCTGCTGTGTATTGCAAAGTTGTCAACGCTGTCGGGGTAGATGGAGTGTCGGAGTGTTCTCTAATGTATATGGTTAATCATTTTACCCAATAGACATGCATGGTGTGTTTCCCGCTGTCAGATCATGGGTGTTACCTTTAACGACGCCGAGCCAGTGGAAAACCACAGAGAAGCTGCTGTGTATTGCAAAGTTGTCAACGCTGTCGGGGTAGATGGAGATGTTGAGGTTACACACGTCGCCAAGTCTGGACGCTGCACATATACACCTGCTGAAACTGATAGAGAGAGTATTGAGATCTGAAGCAGCCATAAAATTGAAGATTATATACGACATGAAATTGAATAAGAACAGACTGACGTGTATATAGCGCCAGGTTGATGCTTGTGGAAACCCTGAAGTGATACTTGTCTTGGATGCTTACCATTTTAGTTAATCTCAAGCAACGGTATTGAGCTGACGTGCTTGAAAACAATCATAGGTTTCTGTGTCTGCACAGAGAATTGTGTTGCCTTTGGCGACTAGATCACCCGTGCCTCCAAAATGAAACCTTTCAGTATTAAACATATTACTTATAGTTGGAGCGTTCAGCAAAATACCATTATGCATCTCTCGTATACTTCTTGCTGTCTTCTTCGTTGCAACACTGAAGAGTTTTAAAAATATTGTTACGAAACCATCTGTAACGTCTTACACATTTTACTGAAACTATGTAACGTACGTTAACATCCTGACGTACGCATCTGTGCACTGGCATGTGTTGCTAACTGCATGTCATATACAACGAATTAAAGACGAAAAATCCCCTGTTTGCTGTTATAGAAACTACTTAAATGTTCTTGAAGCTTCAGAACACATGTTGAAACTACGTCATGTCACCTGTTAATGGCCGTCTCCATGTTGGTGCCATGGCCGGTACTCCCAGGGGCGGAGGAGGACCTCGCGTCTCTCGGTACTCCACCCGTACAGCTTGGGTCGGACACCACACACCAGGATGTATGCAAGAGCCGCTCAATCTCCCTCGTCTTCACTGCAAACAACACGACAGTGTAACATGAAGCTTATAGTACGACTTGAAATCTGCTGTTAAAATTGTACCCCCAACAACCATCTCGAGCACATACTTGATAAAGAAGTAGTATCGAGGGTACAGAATTCAAGCAATTACTACAGCTAACTTAACCTGCAGCGAACACCTACATACCTCTAACACAAGCTGTAGTGAACACCTACATACCTCTAACACAAGCTGTAGCGAACACCTACATACCTCTAACACAAGCTGTAGTGAACACCTACATACCTCTTACACAAGCTGTAGTGAACACCTACATACCTCTTACACAAGCTGTAGTGAACACCTACATACCTCTAACACAAGCTATAGCGAACACCTACATACCTCTAACACAAGCTGTAGCGAACACCAAGCTACATACCTCTAACAAGCTGTAGCGAACACCTACATAACTCTGACATAAGATGTAGCTAACACCTACATACCTCTAACACAAGCTGTAGCGAACACCTACATACCTTTAACGCAAGCTATAGTAAACACCTACACAGCTCTAATACAAACTAGCGAACACCAAGCTACACATCTCTACCATGAGAGGATATTTATTGTCACATCGGCCATATTTCAGCTATATCGTGACTAAATCGTTATACCGTAATAATACATACATTTATATGATAAAACCTGTCAACAAAGGGCGGTAAAACAACTAGATTATCACAGATTTATATTTTAAAACTAGTTTGGAACTATAAAAAGTTATCACGATAAATAACAAAATAAACATTATAAAAACGGACTAGAGATCGCCAGCAACAAAGATTAGGCCACCATACTAGGGACCGTGGGGACTTACGATACTTCTGCTACCGGCACGCTTCCCCACCAGGATTTCCACCACCTCTACTGCTGCTGGCGATTATCAGCAACTTTAGCCTTCTGGCATAGGACTCTTGGCAATATATTACTTCAATAGTTAGTGTTTCCAAAAAGACCAAAACCAAGCAATACATTTGTGAAAAATAAAAACACATTTTTAGGCACAGAACTTGGCGTGACCAGCCGATTGATAGAACCGGACCCATTCTACCACCCGTCTAGGTGAATCGATGGTCAAAGTAGTGTGTTGTGCAAAGAAACACAGTTCCTGGAACCAGTGCCCTAAAATACAAGACTCCCTTCCTCCATCAACAAAAGGGGTGCACAATTTTGTCCCTTTTCCGACAAGCAATGGGTGCTGAGGACACATTGTACCCCGGTTCCCCACGGGTTGGTGCTTTCACATAGGAATCCAATCCTGACGTGACAAGTAGATAAGACGGAATTCAATTAAAAGGCCTCGAACAGCCCTCCTGTCTCTCTTACATATGAATACAGTCAGCCTTCTAGAAACTGTCCCTTCCCGAAACTTCTCGAACTATGAAGTCTGTCATGTTTGTCAACAACGAACCGAGGCGGTAACTCTAACTTACAGGCTGCCGATGCCTGCCACTAAAATCTTGCCACTACAAATAAACTTACAACACTCTTTACTGCCATATAAAAATACCTACAAAAACAAGTTGTGCCGCAAACCCATTTGTGTTACAAAAGATGTGCCGAAGAAAACGTTCCCCAAACAAAAGCTTTTTGACAAACCCTTACCTCTTATGAAAGCAGCAGCTAGTGCCGACGTTACGCCCGAGTCGTCATCGTCGTCGTCAGCAACAACCCCAGCACGCAGGGCACCTGCCATCAAATATATGCAGTGAAGGAGTTAGTAACGAGTGAACGTTTGTATCAATAGGTAAACCAACCGCCCCTACATACATGTATATACGACCCGTGAAGATCCGGGATAGAGTTCAACAACCGATAGGTCTTCAGCAACCCATGCTTGTCGTAAGAGGCGACTGATGGGATCGGGTGGTTAGGCTGACTTGGTTGATGCATGTCATCGTGTCTCATTTTCATGCATCGACGCTCATGATATCACTGGATTGTCTGGTCCAGACTCAACTATTTAAAGACCGCCGCCATATAGCTGGAATATTGCTGAGTGTGGCGTTAAACAACAGACAAACAACCAACCAAAACATGTACATACATAGAGATGTATCATGTCAATATAAATTAAAAATATGTAGAAGGATACCAGATTTTGTATTTAACGTTGTGGATTACAACTATTATACATGATGATTATAAGCCAATAACATGTTTGAGATTTTGCCAGTTGAAATAATTTGACAGCAATTCTAAAAATGTTCTGTTTGACATTCAGTCAAAATGCCAGTCATTTCTCATGTGTTAACTCAAATTCCATAAATTGTGAAATATGATAGATTTGTGTTTTGAAACAAAAAGCTGTAAATCTTCTACATTTTACATTTTTATATTAAAGGCAATAATCTAGAAGACAGACATAACGATGACATCAATACAATCTCCAAACTTACCCAGGTTCAGTTGTATACTGCTACCTTCTACATGGGGTGAGATGGCTTCAAGATATATATATATATATATATATATATATATATATATATATACGTGTGTGTGTGTGTGTGTGTGTGTGTGTGTGTGTGTGTGTGTGTGTGTGTGCTTGTACTAGTCCAGACTAATGCCGGGTTTATAGTGCTAGCCCATTGAGACAGTATGCCGTAGTTTAACATGGCTACCCAACATTCAGTATATTCAATAGACTCACTCCGAACCGTCTTGTATCGCGATTAGATATCTTTTTCAGCTACAGCTATAGGATTTATAAAATTTAAGACTGAGCTTGTGGCAGACAAGTTCTTATGTTTGACAATACCCGATATCACTGCTCTTCATAAACTCGAGTAACTACTTATTGACGATTCGAACACTAGCCGCCAGACAGGTTTCCGGAAGAAATGGCGTCACTGTACCGGGTATAGGTGGTATTGATACTTAACATACTTAGTATGCCACAGTAATACTACATACCCAGTATTAGTACTGCCAGAATACCCGTGGGAGGGTGCATGCCGAGTATTGACCTCCACTGAAACTAAAAGAAGAACAACATAATTATGCATAATTCCGTGTGCGATGTTAAACTATGTAATCCCTTACTCTAAGCCGGTGAAGCTTAGGGGCGCTTGTGACATTGTGCCTTGTCTGTGAGGACGGTAGTGTTGGAAATAGTGCACTACACGGTAGAAGGCAACATGTACAAGTTGCTGGCGACCCTAATTAATCATCTTACTCACGACAGCCTTGAGGTAAGGACATTGTTCAGTATTCAACAAAAACGGAAAACGAAACAAAACTTGAATGACGTACGAAGTAGCTATTGTTAGGGCTATGCCCCGGGCGAAATACTTCTATAAACGATGAAGGACAGACGGGTTATATTTCCTACGTATTGTTCCTCAACAACACAGAGAGTAATATCTCAGGTGTTCACACTCAACTATCAACATTGCTTAGAGAACTTAGATTTAAGAAGAAGACGAAGAAGAAGAAGTGCATTTGAATGAAGTGCAATTTATAGAAGCTGTTTTCTATCCAGTTAACACCTGGCTTCTGTCGGAATATATATAATATCTCCGTTCATGGGTTGTTGATGAACACATGCATTTGGGAACATTTGTGTGTTGCAATTGTAAGCCTATATCTATAAAGACTTTCCATTTATAATAATTCAGTTTGGAGTTATTCAAGAAAACATTTTGGCACCTGTAGGCCCATAACTACACGAACATAATGGCCTGGCTAACTATTGTAATTGTGTGTGGTAGAAACTTGGTTTTTCTTACTACTTACAGCTCGTATAAGCTGGGTGTTTCAGATGTACATTTCAACCACGTGACACAACGAGCTGCATGGGAAACGAGCATGGAGACAGAGCCCATGACTGTCATGTCATATATAAAACAATGTCAGCGCCCCTACCGGAAAATGACGCACGGCTTTGTCATGTGTGATCTCATTTCGTTGACATTTCATAAATATTGCAAGACGAACGGAATAGATGTTTTTTGTTAGGAGGTACATAACATGTGTTTTTACCAACTGCTAATAGCTGTTGACAGCTAATGTATGTTTTTTTGCATTCCTCGTGTGAATTAAGAACGATCGTATCCGTGCCAGTTTCCAACATTGATCAATGTATGCAATAATATTTCAAGTATCATGCACACGTCACATTTTAAACTTTAAACAGAAGAGTATTCATTTATGTTTACATGGTACATTGGTATGTCAGGTTCGTTCTATTGCGGAATAGTTTTATAATTATAATACCGATAACACTCCTCAACTGACATTACCTAAATGGTGAGTTGGATAATTCTCATCTAGCATAATATTTTGTTTCTTCTTCATAAAAATAAGTCATGGAACAAAATACCTTACGTTTGACAAATGTAATGGAGTGGTGATATACTTGAACATGAATGCATTAACCTGAAAAGATGTAATAATAATTCATTTATATGAAGGAAGTATAAAAGAATGATACAATGTCGAACATATAAATAACTCATCAGTCACAATAATTGCATTTTAATGTTACGACCCGTCAAATCAAACCAATCACTTGACATGAATGTCACTTTGAGTTTGGGATGTGAATAATCTCTCTACCATACGTCAAAGTGGTAACTTTACAGCTGCAGTTGTTGCCCGTCAGGTGACGTGTAGAGGAATCAGATGTACGTACTGGCCGCCACATGACGCTTTCCTTTATTGGCTAATAAACTGTCAGCTAGCATGTTGTTGGGAATATTGTATTGGGCGCTTGCAACAATGGCGGCATCTCCTTACACAATAATGGCGGCAGGTCTAAAGATATAAGGTCATGTCAGAGCCGTTCTAATTATCATTTTTCTCAAAATTGAGAAATAATTAAACAGAAACATACATCCCAGTCGAAATGACTTTAAGTCTATGAAAATGACAAAGTCAATAATGCAAGCGTCGGGAAGCAAAGTCATGAAAAAGTATGTCGCTTTTCTCTGATTGACAATGTATTAATTATGACAGGATAAATACTCTCTTTATCAAATGCAACACAGGGAGATGGTAAGGAAGAGAATGTATAGATTTCAACTTCTTTATTATGAGGAACACAACGTTGTGATCATCATAATAAAGAAGTTGGCATCCATAAATTCTCTTCCTTATGTGTATCACTTCTAAATGCCCTTCAAAGACTTGAGGGAGATGGTGTTATATATTAGCTTTGTTTCGAGCCTCAAAAGTACATTTCTTACTGGACATAACTTATCAGGTATCGGTGTATCCCGCCCCTCCTCTCTCGGCCGGGGTTTGGATTACAAAGTCATATACCTACAAAGGTAGCCGTGAAATGACCGCGACGTGTCAGGAGGTCTGGCGTGTTTGGGGTACATAACCACTGTAGCTCCTAAATAGTCCATTTCACCAAAACGGTGTGCCCACACGCCACCAATGCACCTGTGCCCCCTGGCTGTCATCGACTCCCCACGTGAGCTGGCAGTGTGCAATGTACATGTTCATGCCTGGGTCATGTATGGAAGCAACGTGTCTCATTATGCAATCGACATAATTTATAGCATAGCACATATTTCATGTCATTTACAAGAGGCACATACCTCTTACGTCATTTGTAATTATTCGATCCACAGGAGTAAATGCTTATGGGGTCATTTTCATTTTGACATGCGGATTTTCATGTTTCTTGGATTTGGAAAAAACCCTGATAATTCTTTACTATCTTTCAAGGATAAGTGTTGTGTTCTGCTGTAACCTCTATAAGTAGTATAAATTATTATTGGTTAACGACATAATCTATACGCTATTCAGATCTATAATTATTATATACAGAACACACGAGCTGTTTATATAGGAAATTCGGATACATATGTATGATAGGAAAGTGCACAAATTTATAACTACACAACTATATATTGCGTACGAAAGGTACTTTAATAGGAGAACCTACCTTACTGTTTCAACTGACCTTTCTGTACCAACTAAAATCCGAGAAAATTACATTTGAAGTTACTTGACCTCGCTCCACGTGTAGAGGAACCCGACCATTGTTTGTGACGTCACAGTAGTTCTCAAGTTATTACAATCTAGTTTATCGCCTGGACAATAGCTTGACCGGTGACACCGAGTCCGCTGAGGCAAATGTCACAGGTGAGCGGGCTGCGAGACAGTTTTCGTGTTATATGTACTGTGACGTTGGTGGTATTCTGCTTGTGATTGGTTGAACGCCCCTAGCAGAGGTGTCGCTCGGGACTTTTCCATATGTATGTATGTATGTATATATATATACCCTCTTACATTGGGTGACTAACGATTGGTTGGAAAAAAATGTTAAGGATTAAACAAATTTTAATCAAGAAATTAATGAATGTACTTTTAAAACCTATTTGTGAATAGCATCCGAGCGTAGACAATGCAGAGGGATTAATGGGTTTCTGAACAATGGCGTATTGTAGATGTGACATGCACCTTGGCTAAAATAGAAGAACAACAAACCATAACAATATGCAAAAATCGAAGAGGATAGTACCATGTGTGTGTGTGTGTGTGTGTGTGTGTGTGAGAGAGAGAGAGAGAGATAGGGTATGTGTGTGTTTTATATGTAATTGGATGAAGAGAGGATAGTAGCGAGGGTGCGCGTCGGGGGGGGGGGGGGCTAGGTTAGGCATACAGGTTACATAAAATGGGGAGAGGGGCAGCAAATTTCTTTGCCATACTGTCGGAGGTGATGTACACAAACCAGATCGTTTACTCCTAAAGTATCTAATTAGTTATACATTATCTAAGACATTTACTGTAGATCTACACTAAAAAGCTGAACAGCATACCCAATTTGTATCAGTCACTGATATTTCTATACACAATCATCTGGATGTCTTGAATTGATCGTGACATGATATCTGTTGCTGTAGGATATATCGCAAAAGGTTTTTACTTTTTTTCACGTGAAATAATGAAACAAAAATAAGGTATAGAAAATATAGAAAAGACATGATGGTTTTTTTTGTGGGAGCATGCTTGTGAACGACGAGTCTTTCAACCGTATATTCTACCAGGAACAGGACAGCCTTGGTAGAGGTCATAAAGGTCTTACAGGTCAGGGGTCAACTGACTTGGCTGAGGTAATCCACTCACAATACACTTTGACGTTGACATTGTGAAAACCGTCACTTTCTGACATGAACTCACTTTCAGGTAGCGTGTGGCCCGTGTAGGGTGTGGGACTCCGGCACCATGTGCTGATGCAGTGGGGCGTTGATGTGTTCGTTTTTGGGTTTACCCGTTATCACGCGAAATATTTGAAACGTGACAAGTATAGCTGGTATAATAAAAGAATTGGCGATAAAGACCGCCTGGCATGCCCTTCATTAAATCCGGACAATTCAGATGGTCAGGTAATCGTCCAATGACTGCCTCGAACCAGGGAACTGAGCATATTGACGGTCAAGCTCGCCAGCACTCATGCAACAGCTTTGCACAGATAGCGATACACCAGTATATATATAATAGTAGTAGTAGTAGTAGTAGTAGTAGTAGTAGTAGTAGTTGATATGGTTGTCTCTGTGATCTAACCTTGTCCTGCTGGGCCCACATACACGTGATTAATGCTATGCTAATCTTATTCAGTAAACTGTCCACTTAAAGTGTCATATTCTGTCATACAGACCCTGAACCAAATATACCCAAGACACCCCACGCAAGTCTATAATATTTGGCAAGTCTAGATTACTGCAGTATCAAGAAAATCTCTTGGCTTTTTATGATATTTTATAACTATATTTCTGAAAATATGTTCATTTCAGAGACTAGATGTTAGTCTAAACGTGTACAATCTGTTATGTTGTTACCAGAACTGCACTTACTCAAAATTCACGTGTTATGAAAATAACCTCGTTCGTAAAGTATCACGCAGTCATGAGTCAAACTGGATGTATATCTGACTCCAAACAGCAGTATGATTAATGGATTCTTTGAATGTCGTTTGTTAGAGTGTCGCGTGAGGTAAGAACGTATGTGAAAATGAGGAACAGTTATGCTAGCACAAATAATGGAACTCGTGACAATATTTTGTAATTGAATGCCTCGAGAGCAAACTAAGGGCTGATGTAAAAAGCAAATAATTTGTCAGAATTAGTTCTTTAGTCTTGAGAACAAAGACCATCGCGATCGCGATCGTGCTCGGTCATTAATGGGTCTCTTGTATCACGGTCGTGTGTGTTCCCTGTATCGGTTGTGTCAAACTCACATGACCACGGCCGTTGCCAAGACAATGACGTATTAGTTAATAATACAGTCAGTGTATATTGTAACGTTTTCAGCAATGCTGTTTGTGTCATGTATACGTTTTAGCTTTTAATAACCATGCATTCGCGAATATATATTCATACATGACCCGAACTTATCTACTTTCTGACTCAGTGAGCTTTATTTATGAACACGAAATCTAATTCTTATTTAAGATTAATCCATTTCATTTGTATGGGGGTATTGATTTCGAGCAAAATCTTTTTTTTCCCAGAAGTATCCAACCAACTGTTTATTTCCTGAGCACCATCAAACAATCTATTCATTCTCACTATAAAGCTCCCAAAGACGTTTGAGTATTTTGCATAATATAATATAATATCTTCATTGTTTTCACCAGTGCCAACAAACATTTCATTTTGGGCATATTTCTGAACAAACTATTCATTTAAAAATTATTTCCACATCCCCAACGAAATCAATGCTCATCACGTGTCCTTTATTCGTTGTGACGGTGGAGAATATCATAAATGGTAATCCATTATGTCAATAAATAAATAAATATATCAAGTTATGCAAACAAACATGTCCGTATTATTGTATTTGTCCATTCTAGTTGGCTTCATATCTATTTATGTATCGGTTACAAGTAGGCCATGGTGTACTACGGGATCGAAAATGTTTATTATTTGGTCATCAGTTTTTAATCGAAGTTTGGGTCTGAAGTGTCCAACGTTTCTGTGTTTCAATCGGGGTTGGTGTTTATATCCATTCTACCATGACTAAATATAACGCGAACTCTTTGGTGTCAGCAAATATATTCTGTGAAACAGCTTGGACAGAGTCCAGGGTTTTGTGAGGGTTGTCGATCTGAATCACGGAATCACCGACAACAGCCTTTAAACGAAACATTGCGCTGTATATGCTCAAACAGTTTGTTTACACTGTAATACTTCACTCGAACAAATGACAGGCATTGAAAGCATGTAGCACGGCAACATGGTAAGCTAACATTAGGTGGGCACCCTTGAGGAAAACTGTGCAAGCCTTTCAAGGTTTCGTTCCACGCCACGCGTCACTATTATGACGTCATGTCGCCCATGGTGACGCAAAAGATGATGTCACACTCGTATATAGAGAATCTCCAAATTTGAATCTTTCCTGCGCTCTTTAAAACTTGAAACACATTCTCTTTGTAGATTTCTATCGTGCATTCGGCACAAAATGTATTGTCACACATCCTTAGAATATTGTAGTAACCGCAACTTCAAAAATGTCTGCTGTCAATGACTAAAAAAGAACTACTACTCTATAAAGACCAGTGGGGATTTATTGTGATTTGATAACCAATCAGAATCGAGCATATTCGAAATTCTAGATTTAACTATCTGCAGGTAAACGTGACATATCTGTGATATTGATGACTGCGGCGTAAAACAACAAGCTCTCATTTACAATTGCATAAACTACAAGTTAATCATTCATATTAGGTTTATAAGACAACATGTAAAGGTCATGTTCAATAAGTAAATTCCCAAAGGTAAAGTAAAGGTACACACATATCTGCAATTATAACATATAGTATGTAAATAGCACTCTTGAGTGAGTGAGTTGGGTTTAACGCTGCTTTTAACAGTATTCCAGTTATGTCACGGCGTGTCAGATTAATGTGGGAGGAAAGCCCCAAGTAATGCAGGTCTTAGACGTTTACCACTTTGGTGAAACCCACGAGCACGGGTATGGTGCTGACAAACCTAGAAACAAAATCGGGGTGAACCCTGATTCGAACCCACGACCATAGGTTTCTGGCGTGCGACTGGGCCACCCGTTTGAATATTCATGTGATTTGTTCAGTAAAGCCTGGCCTGGTTACAAGAACCATGTACATCACGTCCTTAATATATACTCAGCAAAAAAAAGAAAGAAACGCAGAATTATATAAATCGTTAATATCTGTCAGAGTGTTGCCGCCATTCATACAAAATTAATATCAAAAATGAATTGGGTATGTCTGCATGGATTGGGA